TACCAAACATCGATGGGAAGCCAATATCCTGCAGATCCCAAATTTATTCAATCCCATAAATCAAGCCAATCACCCCTTTAATGTATTGGTCCGTTGGAGCCTATTTTGGCACTATAAAAAGGGGTGTTAGGGTCTTCTTTACACATCAATTCACTTCACAATATTCATATTATCATTGCATTCAAACAACATCATTTTTCATAACTTTCTAGAGCCAATTTGTGAAGTTTGAGTTGTTCTTGAGCGTATATAGTTTACTCAATATCTACTCTTAAGGAGAGTCTTGTTCTTGAGTGTCTTAGTGTTGTATACACGTTAAGGGAAGCTTGTTTCCCTTGGTTGTACAAAGGAAAGGTATTTTCCTTCGGGTTGAAGTCTTGGAGTGCGGTATCTCCGAGCAAGGTTGTTGAGGCTCGTGGGACTCGAGTTCTCAGGTTGTAACGGTTTGTTAAGCACCCATAAGCTTAACGGAAGTAGTGTAGCTCGAGAGAGTCTCTCGGGAGACTGGATTAGCCACACGTTGTGGTGAACCAGTATAAATCTTGGTGTGCTCCCTTTACGCTTTCTACGCTCTTTACTTTTCACGTTCTTAATTTTTTATTCCTGCGATTTCTACGATCAAACGCTATTCACCCCCCCTCTAGCGTTGGTCACTTATTCTAACAAAAGGGGGTTAAGAGTTAAGGAAAATAAGAAATTAATTTGTAGCTGCTACGACACGCCTAATAGCAGTTAATGAGCCGTTGCAGCCGATGAATGTGCCTTTCCAACCTCCTCGCACGGTACCACCAAGAATGCGTGCGTGATCCTGCATCTTCCGGCGGAGGAGGGGGAGAATTCCGGACAGTTTTAGGCTTGGAAAAAGAGGGAACATCACCTTTAGAGTTATTGGAAGCCATAAGAGAGAATAACACAAGTTCGTGTGGGGGATGATGAATTCCCAATCTGAAGAGAAGGGTCAATTTATAGGCCCCAAAATGAAGAGATAAGCCAAGTGAACAGTCGCGGTGGTTGAAATTGAAAGGAGTTACGATGCCACTTGGACGAAATAGTGCGACGGTCCAGTGGTTAGGTTTACTTTTACGGGGAAGCCAAAGAGTCAGATAATAAAAAAACACGAAGCCAATATAATCAAATAAATAATGTAAGAAAAAAATCAATACACTATGCAGTCATGCAACCAAACACTAAGCGAGAAGTATTTTCATTGAGTACAAAGGGATTGCAAATAACAAAAATACAAAGGAAAAACACTAACGAAGAGTGTCTGGATGATGCTTTTCGTCGGCAGTGTTGACCTCTCCATGAGGGGGCGTTCCAAAGTAATCTGGATTGGGGCCAACCTCGACATTCAGATCTGGATCGTGCATGTCCGGATGTCGACTCCAGGGGGAGGGAAGGAATGATTTACTCTCCTCGTCCGCCAAAGGATGAGCTGGATACCATGATAGATGTCGGCCTCGAGCCACTTGGGCCCCTCATCCCCAAGCTTTTGCATTCCGGCCTTGGTCTCAATCCTGCTGTCGTAGTACTCCGCAAACTTATCAATGCAAGCTTCTTTGAAGGCTGGGGACTGGAGGAAGCGAAAACGGCTCGCTCTTTCTCGGCAACAGCATGTTCCCTCTCTGCTTGCAGAACGTTGTAGGGAAACGGCCTCGGCCAATTTGATGTCCATCTCGGCTCTTCTGCTCTCGGATTGGAGCGGTTTGTCCTTGAGCTCGGCCATTGAGTTGGTGAGTAGAGCCGCCGATTCTTTTGATTCCTTCAACAAGCCTTGCAGCTTGATCACCTCCTCCAACTTCGCCACGGCATGCATCTCGAGCTCTGTCACCTGCTCGGCACTGACCAGCTTCTTCAGGTGAGGAAACTCAGTTTCCACGGAGGCCAGGAAGTTTACCCCCGAAGAAAATTATGCCCCAGACCGGCGAGAATTGATGAGGCTCAGCTTCGCCATCACCTATCGAAAAACTAAATCAGTTATCTTTCCAAGTCTATAAAAGAAAATTGCAAGTAACCTTACCTCCTTATGAAACCCTTGCATGGTTTTTTGCATCTCCTTGTGGAACCCGTCCACGGTTTCTTGCAAGGACGAAAAGATTCCGCCCTCATATTTTAACACCGTGGACAGAGATGCGACGTCAGCCTCAGACTGCTTGTCCACACCATCATCAACGGCGAGAGGGACGATCTTCCCATCCTTTTGCAAGGCCGGGTGCTTGGCTTGAGGGAGTTCCGCCAAAAGCACATCTTGCTTATATGCAGCCTCCTCTTCTTCAGCCAGCAGGATCTTCCTCTTCCTCTGGTTCCGAGTCGGAAACACATCCTGATCGGCAACGGTTGTAGTTGACTCAGGATTCTCCACAGACGGCGGCCTGCGGATTATTTCCTCTCCTCGGCCTCAGCCCTAGGCTCGCACCTTGACATTTTGTGTGAGCTGGAGCCATTGCATTTTCCTTGCCAAATGTAACACAACTCAGGAATAAACATCAGTGACAAAGGACGATTTTTTAGGCAAAGGGCAGACCTTTAAAACTTCCACCCTCTGAGGATCCCGCATCAACTTCGTCCTCGGAGCAGGACGGTTGTCCTGACTCGTCATCAGATTGTACCTCCTCATCCTCGTCTACCTCCTATGATCCTTCTGCCATTGTACCCGAGGCGATCTCTTCGAGGCCCAGTCTCGGTCGAACCCCCCCCCCCCACGGCTTCGGCCAACTCGAACTGCCGATCAAGTGAAAGAAGAATTCATACCTTCTCCAAGTTTCTTTCCGTGCACAGCGTGTACACATGGGGCGGCTTGGGGCGACAATCTTCTAGAAACTTCTGCACGTGTGCGAGAAGTTCCGGAGTGGCCTCTGGGCGAGGATGACGGATAAAGGATTGACACTCGAGAAATCTCGCCTTAAAAGGGTGCCTGTCCCCAGGGAAGCCGCAGACGAAGACGAACTTCTCCTTCCACAGTTTGAGGGACGTAGGAACGGTGACCAACCCGCACTCGTTCTAGGAAGCCACGATGGGGTATGAGTTCCCCTCGTTACGGCCAATCCATGAGATTTTGAACAAATACCTTAACAAGTCTAAAGACCAGGGGACTCCCTTCATCTGGAACTTGATCAGGAAGCTCGAAAAGCAATAATAGGAGTGTGGACTAAGCTGACCCGGGAGAAGGTGATAAAAGTTCAGGTATTGAACTATCAACTCGAGGAGGGGAAATCGGAGACCATAGCGCATTGTCGACACATGAACCCCAACCTCGGTGCCAGGGCAGGTCACAGAGAAGATGTGATTGGTCGTGTGCGGTCGGCGTACTACATACCCCCTCCCCCACAAAACGCAGGGCTTCTTCAAAATCAGTGTCTAACAACTAGCAGCCCGTATTTGTGATAGGACCCCTTTCCAATACGGTAACGGGTAAGGATTTGCGGGCCTTTTTCCTAACAACCTTCGGTTTCTTGGCCTTAGACGATGGTGCCCTTGCCAACGATGCCACGGCAACCATCGCACGGAGGGGTACCACATCCAAAACTGGAACACGACCGAACCTGCCCATCGGACCGTCACGATAGAGGAGTGGATTCAGCCTTAGACGACGGTGCCCTTAGTTTGCTAAGTCTCATGTTTTGATGTTAACAAGCAATATAAGAGCTTGACGTTTGTTTAAGTGTTTCAGGTACAACAAGAATCCATTAAGATTCGGTTCTCAAGAATGAAGTCGAAACACTAAACTAGCGTAGAATATAGGTAGAAACCAATGTAAGAATATGACTTTATATACCTATATTCACAAGCTCAAACGCACTTACAAAATATGTTTAAAATCATCTCATAAACATTTTCAAATATCCAAAAAGTTTTAAACTCAAACAAGAAGGATTACGGGAATTTTGGAAAATTCAGGACAGTGGCACGGTACCCCTAGCGGTACCCCAAACGGTAGGGTATACCGCCTACACGGTACCCCATACCGTGTAACGGTACCTAGGTACCGACGGTAGGTGCAGACGGTTGGACCAACCCGTCCTAACCAGGTACCGCCAAAGAGGAACCCACCTTTTGGCCTATACGGTACCCCCACACGGTAGGCTATACCGTGGTCACGGTACCTAGGTACCGGAGGGTACTGGCCCTACCGTGAAGGGTACCGGATCCATTGGATTACTGTTCCTGATTTGTGATTTTGAATTAAATCAACCCTAATCACCTCCCAACGGCTAATTAACATCTTTCACTATAAATACAAGCCTAATCCTTCATATTTCTTCAAGAAACAAAGCTCCAAACATCCTAATTTAATATTCTAAGTGTGTTGACTCCTTTATTAGTTATTTTCCATATTTTGGCTATTTTAAGAGCCTTAAAATTCCTGATTTTTATACACACACTTTGAGCTTGTGTTTCTAGTTATATACTCTCATATTCATAAGTTTGAATTGTATTTTTGAGAGAGTATACTTTCCTTCTACACCGGCTAAGTTTTGTTCTTCATTTTTATATTCAAGCCATTGTGTAGAACTCTTGTTTGTATTTTTCAAACACACCTTCTTACGGTCGAGGATAGCCGTAAAATTCTCACATTGTAACGGTCAAGGATAGCCGTATAAATCCTTGGGTAAAGGTTCAAGGATAGCCTTGGAAATCCTTGGGGGAACGGTAGAAGATAGCCGTAAATCTTCATTGTAAATGGTACGAGATAGTCGTGGTAAAATCTCGGAGTGAATCCTATTGGCAAGGGTTGTTTGCCAAACTAGTGCGGTGCTTTGACGGAGTTCAAGAGACCGAGACTTAGTGGATTCGGAAATCCTTGAGGAGGAGCCTCGAGGTGAGGTGTGCATTTTATTTACGCTTTTATTTCTGCATTTTATATATTGCTTCCGCATTTGCCAACACCATTTTTATTAAACTCCAAAAAGATTTTCAACGCCTTATTCACCCCCCCCCCCTCTAAGGCGTGGGCACAACGACTAAAACGACTAACAAGAACAAGAGGAAACTGAAGTCTCAAGGAGGCCGCTACTGTATCAGCATACACTCAGTCCTGGCAGACAGGCTCGGCCTTTGAAACACCCTCGGTCGGCTTTCCGTCAGGGGACTTCAGGAGGCAAATCACATGTACTCGGCCTCGGCCTAAGATGTTACTGGACTAGGAGCATAGGCATGGGAGCTGTCTAACCAATCAAGTCAAGGGGCCCACGATTGGACCCTGCCACACTTCCGTCAGAGTAGTTTTAGCCACCCTATTTGTAACCTACTTCGTATAGCCGCCCTATGAATAATGATGTGGTTAGGCGCCGCCGGTAAACAACCAAATCTTAGTGGGCCCGATCCGTTAGGCTCTGGACCAATGGTCGGAAACTCCATCTGTAATTTGTATATAAATCCTTTCTGGAGAGAAAGGAAAGGATGGTTTTTGTAGCACACTAATACTTAAAATCTCACTTGATTCCCAACTTGTGCACTCTCGACTTAGTGATATCTTTCGCCTAGTCTCTTAGGCCCCGGGTTTCTTAACCCAACAAAAAAAAATTTCACAAGTTTTTAACTTTTTCACATGTGAGTTGCTTTTATCAAAACCAAGAAACAAAAACACTGATGAAGAACGATGACCCAGACGTTGATGTAGCGTGATGATATCGACAGTAGATGCCAGAGCTAATGTAGGAAAACAAAAGACATACACTCCATTCCTTAGCTCACCCCGTCCAATCTCTATCTTCGACGTATGGTCATGGATTACACAACAGCAGTCATTAAAAATTACTCCCTCCATTCTCAACAACACATCTTCTTTCTTTTTTTCACTTTCAACAAAACAACTTTTACCCTTATTTTTTCATACCCTACCTATCACATCATACTTTTTCTCTAACAATCTATCCATCAAATCTTACTTTTACTCATCACATCAAGAGCAAAATTGGAAGTCAACTACAATTTAACACTTCCTTATTGTTATACTTTGTCAAAGTAGGAACTCTTTTTTAGAATGGAGGGAGTACATGACAAGAGGTATCACGAATCAAGCATCCACAAAAATCAAGTCACAATGAAGATTAGGGACAAATAGCACATTTGTGAGAATTAAAGCTTAAGACAACCGCACATGCCCCTTTTTGTTAGCTTTAACCCGTGACCTATATGAGAGGCTAATAACACAGGGGGGAAACATGTTTAAGATAAAACACTTGCGACAAAGTACCTGTCATGGGGTGAGATGTGCCACTACCAATAAGCCAGTCACAAGAGATGGAATTCATACCAGAGTAAGAGTGGGATGCTGAACACTCAATCATGGACACAAAGAGTGCCATCTACGCATTCATCCCTCTAGATAAACCTTCACTCAAAACTACGTTGGCGCCCCTTTGCATGTGTTTGGTCCACTACCCGCGAGAGGCCCAAGACGGTGACCACCACCTATTTTTCTTGTCACACGACCTCGTTCACCGGTGGTACCATGGCCATCCACCCTCTTCCGTAATCCTCATGAAACCCAATGTTCTCAAAACACGTGTCAACAGTATGATTCGAGCAACCACAATGCAAACACTGAGGTTTACCTGAGAGAGGAGGTTGGTGGAAAAAGCAACCGCGTTGGTACGATCATTACGGCTCTGAACAATAGTATCATGGCGTTCTTCTTGGGAAACTAGAAAAAAGCTTTGTAAATATCAGCCACAGGTTCACTCCTAATAATTTGAAATCGGATACGACCAAATAGTTCATCATCAAGGCCAAGCAAAAAATTAACTACCTTTTCACGCTCCAATGTGCGCGTAATCTCCGTAGCCAGACACACACATCCACTGGTTTGATCAAAGGAACCTTATAATTGATTCTAGATTAAGATAAACTGATTGTAGTAAGTAACAACTATTTGAACCTTTTGACGAAGATTATTTAACTTAGATTCTAACTTGATAAATATGTGGTCCATTGGAACAATTGTAAAACCCCGGCTGTATGTGTCTGCTCATAGAATTGTAGTCTGGCTTCACAAACCTACACAAGTGTTTCCCGCACACTTTGTCCACACTCGTGTGCACCCAATAAACTTCTCACCCATCCTAGAATTGCTCCAAGTCAAGCACAGTGAACTTTCTAATTTCTAAGTGATGAGCTCTTGAAAAGAAGATGCACCTTGTTGGTATGAGTAATATAATCAATTCTTTTGAGCTCTTTCCATTTCCATATTAACACGGGGTATTACATTCACTCTCACTTAAGAATACAACGTTCTCATTGCATCCTTTTTTTCAAACCACTAGATCTTCTCTGCTAGGTGAACTAAGCTCTCTTAGCCCGTCACGGTCACAGGGTTGCTCTGATACCATTTGTAACACCACTGCCCCTCCCTGACCATAAGTATCTGCTAATAGGATTGTAAACTGGCTCTACAAACCAACAAAAGTCTTTCCTGCACATTTTATCCTCACTCGTGCTCGCCTAAGAAACTTCCCATGAGGTCACTCATCCTAGAATCGATCTAAGTCAAGTACGCTTAACTTTAGAGTTTCTAAGTGATGAGCTCTCTAAAAGAACATGCACTGGAAGAAACAGGAAGAAAATGGAAGGAAGTGGAATAAATTGAAAAAAACTAGAAGGAACAGGAAGAAACTGGAAAAAATTAAAAGAATATGAAAAAACAAGAAAAAAAATTAGAAAATCTAAATAATTTTAAAAGACAATTTTGTGTGTTTTTATATTATTCTCATTCTAATTCTTTAATGATTGACCTTTTATTTTCATAGTAACCCTACTTCTCGAATAAAGTCATAGAACTTTTTTTATGTTTTTTATGTTTTACTGCTACTTTAGTCATTTCCTCTAAAGTACTTTGACTTTCAAATTTTTTATAAAAATTTAAAAAATGAAAAACAATTAATTTTTTAAATAAATAAAAATAGAACAAAATGAGTAATAAAGTATTACTTTTTTGTTAGTTGTATAAATTACCTTTCTAAAGTATAATTTTTTTATTAGTTGTATTTTAATTATTGGTGATATTATTTGTTATCTGAATTTCTTTTTTTACACTTTTTGGGTCGTTTTTTTTCTTCTTTAAAATGTAGTTCTCTCTTGGTTTTCATAATGTAGTACTCCCCACCCCCATTCCATTTTTATATTTTAGATTAAAATATTTATGTTTACCTTATATAAATTTAGATTAAAAAAACATTGTATATAACTATTTTATCCATAATTTTTTTAAATAGTTTAAAATATTGATTTTTTCCAATTTTATCATGTAAATTAATATACACAAAAATGGTATTATTCATATTAAAAAGTTGAATAAAAAAATTATAACGAGTGTAATCATAAAAATAGTGAGATGAAAAAAATGAAATAATTTATAAACTATAATTATGAACATAATAGATGTAATAATAATAATAATAATAATAGTAATAATAATAATAATAATAATAATAATAATAATAATAATAATAATAATAATAATAATAATAATAATAATATGTTGTTTTTAGAGTGATTTATCCAAAAGTAGAAAGAGTTTGATGAACATAAAAATAGTTGGAAGAAACTGGAAGCTAAGAACCTTGGTGATACTGGAAAAAACTAAAAGAAACTAGAATAAATGTAAGAAACTTAAAGGAACTAGAATAATAATATGTTGTTTTTAGAGTGAATTGTCAGAAAGTAGAAAGAGTTTGAAGAACATAAAAATAGTTGGTAGAAACTGGAAGAACCTTGGAGATACTGGAAGAAACTAGAATAAATGTAAGAAACTGGAATGGACTAGAAAGAACTGGAAAGAATTGGAAGAAACTGAAAGTTAAGAGTTCAAACTCTAAAGAATAACATCTAAGATAAACATGTTTTTTAAAAATAAAAAATAAAAATAAAAAATTGTCTCAGAAGATTCATGTGAACCTTAGGTCCATTTTTTTCTAAAAAAAAATATGCGAATACTATTATACAATTTTCGACCCTCATTATAAATTTAAATTGACTTTTTTAACTAAGTTTGAAAATTATTGTCTCATTTATACCATACTACGTATGCCTTAACGAAGTATATTAATGCATGAAATTGCATTTTACGTTACGGGGTAGTTTGCAAGATAGACAAATTTCTTTTAAGGCGTAAGATGGTCTTGGTTGAGAAAACGTTTTTTTAAATAGTGTTAACCATTTAGATTTTAGAATTTAGATACAATTTTAATAGTATAGTTTAATCTGAAAAACCATAGCTAGGCCTGTCAATGGGTCGGGTTCGGTCGGTCCATAGTGTTCTATACCCGTACCGTTTTTAAAAAATTGGTCCTGACTCGTACCCGTTTACCCGATGGATCTTGAAGTTTAATTCTAGATTTGGATCCATTGGGTCTCGGTATCGGGTCGATTGGCTATATTCATGATAAAAGTTGACATACATGTTTTATTATAATTGAAAATAAATTATTAAAAATACTATGAATGAAAAACATTTTAATTGAATACAAATAAAAATAAGACTAATACATTACTACAACAAGAATCAACCTTCTTTACCAAAAATCTCCAACAAAATTTTTACATTCATATAATCGGTCTTTTTGTCACATTCATTCATGTTGCAAGAATATAATATTTTTCATAACGCTACAACTAATTCCAAACTATTTATTATTTTATACTACTGCATAAACCAATGTGTAAATACCTCTAATGTGTTGAAATAAATACAAATAAATTTGGAAGCCACGCAACCAATGAAGAAGGGGAGTAGCGACGAAGAGGGATAGAGTTTTGTAATTTTTAATATTACGGAGTATCTATTTATTTAACCGATACGAGTTTAAAACCTATCGGGACTACTCGTCCTATACCCGACCCTTTATTTTTTAAAAATAATGGGTACGGGTATGCGTTGTAGTAAACGGTATTTTTTATAGTCCTAAACCTGCTAAAAAATTACGGGTATTATATGGGTTCGGATCTATACCCGATCCATTGACGAGCCTAACCATAGCTACCGTTAGAGCATCTTCGTTCTTTAATTAAACATTCATCCATCCAAATCATTGTTATATATATATATATATATATATATATATATATATATATATATATATATATATATATATATATATATACTTATACAGACTTAGTCTAGAGCAAGTAATGTGCACTTAACGTGGTTGGAAAAAAAAGATAAGAGTTACACCAACATTTTAATAGCTCAAAATGACCCAAAAATGTCAACGCTATCACAAAACTTCATGCTAACATTTTTATTAGTGAGAATCATCAAGATATTAGTATAAACTTAGTCTACAGCAAGTAATGTGCACCTAACATGGTTGGAAAAAAAAAATAAGAGTGACACCTAATAGTGGCATTTGTCTAAATATTAATTTTAGAATTTCATTTTCTTTTCTCCTTTTTCCCTAACAAATCCCACCTAATTCTATTTATGCTAAGGGGCAATGTTTTATTGATGTCTAATAACGCGTAAAACTTTCTAAAATCTATCTATAGTTGACCTCCCCATTCCCACTCCTCTAATAATCTCTCCATATAACCCCTTCTTCTTCTTCCACTTCTCTCTCTTACCCTCCAAGCTAACTCCACTCTTTCCAATTTTTCCATATAAACCAAAAAATCTGATCTATATACCAAAATCTGAAAACAGATTTCTGCAAACGGAGGAGGGGATTTCATGGAGACCCACTCTGCAGCTAATGAAGCCAGAGTTGAATATGGAGAGTGGGAAACAGAAAGATAGAAATTCATATTTCTGTTTTCGCAGAGTCTAATATATAAATATACGTATGTTTTCCAATCATTCTTTCTATATCCTTTGCTTTGGATGAATTGATTTGTTAAATAGTTTTGAAGCTTGAATTTCCAATTTTGTTTTTTGATTTTTTTTCCAGTTGATGTCGACGAGTAGTACCGCACATACCGATTTGATAGCGGGGAATATGGCAGCTGCGGCGGTGGCGGCGGCGATGGAGGTGGAGTTCGCGAAATGCGATTGCTGTGGATTGACGGAGGAATGCACGCCGGCGTACATCGAGAGGATCCGGGAGCGGTACCAGGGGAAATGGATCTGCGGCCTGTGCGCGGAGGCGGTGAAGGAGGAGACGGTGCGGTGCGAGCGGCTGATCAGCGCGGAGGAGGCGCTGAATCGGCACCTGAATTTCTGCTCGAATTTCCGGTCGGCGGAGCCGCCTCCCGACCCGACGGTGCACTTGATCGCGGCGATGAGGCGGATTCTTAGACGGAGATTCACTTCCATGCCGAACAGTCCGATGAAGAGAGACGACGGAGAGATCAATCGGACGGCGCTCCAGAGATCGGAGAGCTGTCTAGCGACGATTTCGCTGTTGGAGGTGAATCGCAGTGTGGAAATGGAACAGAGCTGTGAATAGAAGAAGAAGAAGAAGAAGAAGAGAGGAATATAGCTTATGAGAATGGTACTTAAAATAATGATCATAATAATCTCTCAAAATAAATATTATTACTTCCTCTGTCTTTAAAAAAGAAAAAGAAAAATTGATCCAACCAAATTTTGACATTGTTGATGATTATTCTTGTATATCATTTAAATTTTTATTGTCAATTAATCTAATTTTCACTTTCAAATGGAACGGGTCAATTTTGTAATTGCAGATACATACGAATTTGATTCATAAATATCTACTTAACATTAATATAAAAATTTATTTGATTTATTTTTAGAACTTATTTTATGTGAACAAATTTCATGTATACTAAAAAAATTTGACTCATTCACCTGAATTGTTCATAAACTGCATGCTTTCCTCAAACTTTTAAAACTATACCATTTATCCTTATATTTTTAAAAGGTGTGTATTTTACTCTCAACTTTTTTGTAAAATGTATGTGTATTTCCAAAATTCTCCAAACTGCACGCCATTAGTTCTTATACTCTTCATTACGTGTGTAATTTTCTCTCGAAGTTTCAAAAATGCATCATTAATCATATGTTTAAAAAATTGGTACATGGTTGGAACCCAAAGAGATTTTATTGGTTGAGTTGTTGAACATTATTTTTAACTAAACTTGAACAAAAAGAAAAAAATAACTTGAAGGACATAACTATTAACTGCCTGCTTGTCAAAATCTTCTTCTCATGTCTCAGTTGACATGGCTAGTGCTTGATGAGAAGTCATTAATGAACTTATTTTTTCAAGAGGCTGTAAACAATATGTTTTTTTCAAGAAACGTACACATCTATGTTTCAAGATTTTATCTTTGTTGCGTAATTGAAAAAAACTCATCAATGACATCTTCATCAAACTCCAACAACCGTCTCAACTCTCAACTTAAGCGTGAGATACTTTAACAATTAGACACTTAGTGTCGTTCCAATTTTATCAGATGTTCCCGAAGAACAACCGGACATTCAGTAATTATGTCCCCTAAGTTATTTTTTTCTTTACATTCAAATTTGGTTGATGACGATGTTCAAGTAAGAAAAATTATTAGAGTTTCAACAATGCATCTTTTTTTTTAAAATATAGGATCAACAGTTATGTACTTTTTAAGTTCGGGGAAAGCATGCCCTTTTTTAAATAAACATGGACTAATAGTATATTTTTTAAAGCTCAGAGAAAAAACATGTATTTTATGAATAAATTAGCGGTAAAGCACACACTTTATGAAAAGTATAGACTATAGAGATTAATAGTGCATTTTTAAAATTTCAAAAGAAAAAGACATAATTTATGAAGAGTTCAGGACAAATTGCGTAAAAGAAAACTTTATAGCTAACCATCTTTATTAGTTTGAAATCTCAATTAAACAATTTACATGTAAAATTTCTTCGCACAAGACTGAAATTGAACACAAAAACTTTGTTAGGAATACTTATTAGAGCTTTCATGTACTAGTATACTTATAATTACATTGAAAATTAGTATCTAGACAAAATTTCTTTACTTAAAACTATGTAAAACTGAACCAAGGAAATCTATTCGGCAATTCTACCATAGACAAAATTTCTTTGCTTAATGTTGAGATGAATATTTTTATTTTTATTTATCTAAAAAAATTTTAAAAAACTAGTTTTTTATGAGAATGTCTATAAAATTTTTGTAGACCTTAGGTGTAGCAAAGAAGCACTCATTCAATACAGAGATATAGTTTTAACTTTCACGTGTCCTAACTTCTCACTTTCACCATGTATGGAGTATTTTGTGAAAAAAATTCGATATTGACATTTAATAAAAAGTACTTCGGGTCTGTTTGGTACACAGAATTGAAAGAATTAGAATTGAATAAAAGTTGAAATTCTATGAGATTGATTTGGATGGAATTGAATTCTCCCATTTCAATTCCTTTCTAGCTGGCACTATCAATTCCAAATCTACATATTTTTGTGCTACCAAATACTAGAATTGAAATTATTACCCCAAATTCTAATTTCATAATTTGAATTCCGTGAACCAAACGGAGCCTTAGGCTCCGTTTGGTACATGGAATTCAAACTATGGAATTGGAATTGAGGACTTCAATTCCAATTCTGGTATTTGGTAGCACAAAAATTATGTAGATTTGGAATTGATAGTGCAAAACATGAATTGGAATTGACAAAATTCAATTATATGGAATTGACTCCTATGAAATTTCAATTCCAATTCAATTCCAATTCCGTCAATTCCGTATACCAAACGGACCCTTAGTAATTTTTCTTTTTTGGAAAGACTGAGTAATTCTCACAACATCTCAGTACTTTTGACTATTTGGATTGTAACGGATTTTTATACCTACAAAGGAGGGGGAGAAAATGTCATATACGTACAAAATAGTTGACTTTAGAAGGCTACAAACAAATGTTATGGACTGATGAATAACCAAACCATTGATAATTAAAAAGGTAATTTGATGTACTTGAAAAACAAAAACGTGGCATTTTCTATTTTGTAGTAACTGACTTTTGTATATATTTGACCTTCCAAAAGGTGAAGTATATATATTTTCAAAAAATATATGAGTTCTTTTTGTTTTATATTTCAGCTTATCGATCTTTGAAGTAATCATTTGACAAATTGTTTCTATTAAGACTATTGTGTAGCTTATCGATCTTTGAAGTAATCATTTGACAAATTGTTTCTATTAAGACTATTGTGTGTGAAAGCTTGGCAAGCTTTGGGAGGTATAAATTAAAGGATCAATTCTGAAATTTACCCTTTGAAATATGGTGCTCGGCTTTAATCGAATTGGCTCGACATATGTTCACTATTTGATTCCAATGCTCAATATATCCACTCAACGGACGTGCCCAAATTTTAGTACTTGACTAAAACGTCGTGAATGTTTTACCTTTAAGCCTTCTGAATTTTTCTCTCATAGACAAACAAAGAACTCACCTCTATAATTTACCTTAAGTGTTGGATTGCTGATGGGTGTTTGATTCCTTGCATCTGCTTTGTGAAACAAATAACTATGTTAAACATATGATATCTGCAAGTACCACCAGATCCTAATTTCAATGTTTGCCATCAATCTATGACAAAAATTTAATTTATTTTTTTTAAATGACGGTTGAGCCTATTTTAAGGGACCATGAGAGATGTGGTTTTTAAGTGTTGGATTCGTGTCTCATCCTATCATATCGTTTGGTGTAGTGAAATCCAATAGGAATATGAAAATATTCTCATGAGTTAATTCTTTGGGCCTCATGCCACATTATGCATGCATAATGTGAAAGCAAGCTAAGCAAGAAAGCATATATGGAAATTGTACACCTCAACTTGTTGATACCAATCTCATCTGGCTTCTACAAATATACACTTCTCTCCCACCACATGGGCCCCACCATTTTTTTTTTATTCCTAACCTTCAATCATTCCTTCTCTCCTTCCAGACAACCTACTCAATAATTCATGCCCTTTGTCCTCACTTAAACAAACCATCCCTTACCAAATTACCCCTAATTATTCCTTTAAAAAACTTGCCACCAATTCATTATTTTGGTTTTTTGGTCAAAGATAAATTAAACATAATCTAAATAAATAAATGATATAAAAATTTGATATATCAAAACTTTATCCTAAGATGAACTCAATTATATAGAATTTATATAATAATTAAATATATTTTTCTTATAATTGCGTCAATGTTTGACAAAAAAAGTCAAAAGAAAAAAGGTTTTTATGACCGTAGGGAGTATTTTTTGGATTCAGATACTTTTTTAATTAAAATTAGGGTCCGTTTGGTACATGGAATTGATGGAATTAGAATTGAATTGGAATTAAAATTCCATAAGATTCAATTCCATAGAATTGAATTCACCAATTCCAATTCATTTTTTGTACTACCAATTCGAAATCCACATAATTTTTGTGCTACCAAACACAAGAATTAGAATTGAAGTCCTCAATTCCAATTCCATAGTTAGAATTCTGTGTACCAAACGAGGCCTTATACTAGTAACTAACTACTCCGTATTAAATAATCACAGTACAGTTCACTTAAATTCAGTTTTGTTTTGTATATTTCAATCGAAAAGGAAAGACTCTTTGCAATATATCAAGCTTAAATTGTACTCGTATATGCTTTTAAATTGAGATTTTTCTGCAATATTTATTAAAAATATGACTCGCTCGACAAAAACCCTTTGTTTTGTCACCTCCCTGAATAATTCAAACGTGACATCACATGCACCAATTTACACTTCGCACTATCATGTTGCAAACCTAACATCATTGTAAATATACTGAGTATGAATTTTATGGAGTTTTTCTTAATTTTACACTAATTTTCTAATGAATCAAATTGAAAACTAAAAATAATTTCAATTAAATAGAGAGTAACTATCAAAAGTTTTACTATGCCACACATGCATTTGTATAAAACATAAAACAACACGTGGGGCATAGCTAGCTCAGCTGATCTTCAAAAGGAGGGGCAAAAGAGGTAATACTCAAATTCAATTTGCTCCAAGATTTGTGAAACCAAAAAAACACAAAGGCAANCCCCCCAAGACCCCCATTCACCAAGCCCAAAAAACCCCAAAAAATGTCTTGTTGGACAAAAATGACATTGGCATTTAGTAAAGTACGGAGTACAACATATCAAAATCATCGAATATAACTTTAATGTTAAAACATTGTTAGGTTAACTAAAATTAACACATGCAACTTCTTTGGAAAAGTCTTTTATTTACAAAAAACATTAAATATGATGATTAGCTTGTTTATTTTTGTACTCTTATTTTCGAAAGGAAAGGCTTACAGATTGCGTGCTCTTCTCATCGGAAATATAGAACAATAAACACTCAATTCAAAATTAAATGAGAAAAGAAATCATCACAAATTAACAATGGAAAAAAAAAATTGAAGAGTACAACAAAAGTATCAAATACAGCTGAAATTTTCATTAACTCCACAAATTAAGTATCAATAAGATGAACTCAAAAAACAAAGTATCAATAAGATGAAAATGCAAGCAGACACTACAATAGTTTGAGCACAATCAAAGGAATAATTTATAGGTGTTTATCAGACGAAAATGATTAATAGATGTTTATAAGAAATATGAAGAGACAGTGTAATTCAACAAGAAGTTGGAAACCCAAAGACATCTATTTTGAACCTTTTTAAGAGAACAATTGAGGCTACAACAACAAACCCATTCAAGTCGGACGAAATGGGGTCTGGGGAGGGAAAATATACGCAGACTTACCCATACCTGAAGAGAACTATTGAGGCTGGTTTATTTAATATATTTAGCACATAAAGACGAAAACGTGATCATTCAAACGATTCGTTTCAAAGACTGCAAATTAGAATGGTTACAAACCAGGAATAGTTTGGTTGTTCGTGTTGAAGAGAGAAACCTGAGAAATGCTTCGACAAACCACGAATATTTTGTTTTAACCAAAGTTGATTCCTTGTGCCAATGGTATTTCAGACCCGTAGTTGATTGTACTGCAAACGGAATGTAATCAAAGTGTTACCAAAGGAAATCGAGGACATTAACACGTACTCCCACCATGTGAATTTATTTGTGCAACCTTTCTTTTTGTAATGTCTGGACTGATTAATCCACTTATATTATTTGGTAAACAAATGATGTGGAATTATTCAAAACACCCCTAAAGAGCATAATTAAGCTTGTTGCCAAGAAAGGAGGACAAGCCAAATTGCAAGGGCTTTTTTGCCAATTACCACATTTCTTAAAATTTGCCGGGTTAGAACAAGTGGGCAACTAACTTAGACTATATATTTGTGAAATGGCTAATATAGTAATATATATATATATATATACACACACACACACACACACACACACACATATATATATATACATATATATATATATATATAGATTTTGGTTCTGGTGAGAATGCAATCTTAGGAGAGAAATGAGAATGAATCTGGTGCTTTAGATTGTGAGATCTAAGGATCAAGATTTCATCAAAATTAGATTCATCAAAATGGTGTGAAAATGCATCACGTTGAAATGCATCATAAACCTTCGAAAATGCACTATCTCAAAATCTGAGCGCAGGATGCAATCTGAGCCACACGATGCATCAGATCCGACGGCTAGATTTTATTCTCATTTCTCTCCACAAGGTGCATTCTCACGGGAACCGGCCCCTATATATATATATATATATATATATATATATATATATATATATATATATATATATATATATATATATATATATATATATATATATATATATATATATATATATATATCAGAGGATGAATGCATTTACCAAGTCGAGCGTCTCATATATTGCTTCCATGAATCGCTTCCAGCTTCACGACCACCTCCAGTAGCTTTCTCTCCACCAAAAGCACCGCCAATCTCTGCTCCATTTGTTGGTATGTTTGCATTCACGATACCACAATCACTCCCTAAAGGACTGCCAAAACAACAACAACAACAACCCAGTTAAATCCCACAAGAGTAGAGTCTGGGGAGGGTGTGTGTACGCAGACCTTGCCCCTACTCGAAAGTAGAGAGGCTGTTTCCAAAGAGACCCCCTAAAGGACTGCCAAAATAAAATATAATAAAATGTCAGCGGAACCACATTCACGATACCACAATCAACTCCTCCTAAGCTACTTTGTACCTTAAAAGTAAATAAAATGCAGTTTCAGTCACTAATATAATAGAATGCTGGTACAATTTACTCTATCTGTATTTGAAAGCTTCTAGTACTTTTCATGACTCTTAAGAGAAAAAATAATTGAAATATAGAATAGTGTATAAAAGGTATAAAAATTACTAAGAAAGAAGATGAAAAGGCATGAAGAGCACGAGTGAGCAGGTGAAAGAATAAGTAGGGACATTTATTGTTTGAGATGAATTCCTCAATTATTTTAATATCAAGCACCAAAAGTAAACTTTAACAAGACATTTAGTATTTGGATATGTAGGAAAGGAAAAAAGATGAGGACATTTATGTAATTCGATAAGCTCATATTTTTTTTGAAAGTGATAAGCTCATATTTAATAGAAGATATATTCTTAAGTGGACTTAAAGTCCACCTAAGCATTTATGGATCTTCTTATTAGATACACAAGCATTTTCATAATGTTACGTTAAACATTAACTTAATATAATTTTTATTAATTTGCTCATATAAGGTCTATGCATTATTATATGGACCTAAGGTCCATGGTAGAAACACTCCTAACAGAAAGAGAGGGTAGAACAAGTAATTGGAAACTTTCTTAAAAGTAAAGCAACCTATCAAATATAGAGGCAATATCATTTTTCCAAACAATAGAGTACATTTTAATCCATAACACTAATTGAAGAAGGGCTACGTTTGCAAGTTGAAGAAGAATTTGTAGGGCTTGGAAGTTGAAACAAGCTTCAAGGCAATGGTACAAGAAGTTTGAGTCTATGTTGATCCAACAGGGATATAAGAAGACTACTGATTATTGTGCTTTTGTGTAGAGGTTCTCTAATAATGACTTCATTATTTTGTTGTTTTATGTTGATGATACACTTATCTTTCACCAGAGATATGTTGATCATAAGTCTACTTCATTATTTGTTGCTTTATGTTGATGACATTGCTGAAAGTGGAAGATTATGTTAATGACACACTGTTGGTAGAAAAAGTGGAAGATTAGTTTGGGATGGATTGAAAAAGAAAAGTGGAAAGCTTGTTAGTTTGTTATGTGTATCATAGTTCCAAGACCACCATTATATTTCATGAAATGTGTATACCTCGTGTGATAAATCCATTCGCTTTATACTAAGCTTGTAAACAGAAAAACTAAAAATAAAATATATGTACAGTCAAATCAACTGAGTGACTCTTGGTACGTGTACATCAAATTCCATTTAAATGAGAGTGTTAAGTGTTGAAATACTAACCCAATCCACTTGAATATGTATTCAGGTTTTTTGGTGAAGATTGAACTACTCAAACCCTGAGGTACAGAGTTGTTAATTTCAACTGCATCCTCAAATGTCTGCATGAAGAGTAGGGTGCTCACAAGTAAGACATTAATGGAAACAATGATGATTCATAAATACTAGGTACGAATAATTTATAATTAAGGAACTCATAAATCTGCTTCCAAAAGTAGCTACCTTAAATTTCATAACATAAAGAACCGGTCCAAACAACTCTTCCTTCACTACGTTTGCACTTGAAGATATGTCTACAATTGTTGGCTGCACAAAGTTCCCTGCAGATGGAATAACTGAGCCACCTGTAAGGATCTTGCCTCCCTGAAAAAATACACCAATAAGTAACATTTACAGGAAAATAAGAGACTGTAAGAAAGTTCAAAAGAGTTTCATTTCCCACTCCACAAAAAGGGCAAACACAGAGATAAATGGCCTTGAAGACGGGCATGCAGCTTTCCTCACCCCCTTTAGGGTGTTTATGTGTGTGTGCACATATGCAAGTACATGTAAAGTGTATATGTACATGTATCTATGTCCAATACATACTTCCATTGAGAAACATAATTGCCTAATTAATGTAGATTATGCAACTTAAATGCCAAGAAAATACTTAGTTTCACGATACCATGGGTGTACGTCAACAAGCTTATTAAGTTATTGGGTATTTTATGTCAGAAAAGACCATTTTGAGGTTAATGATATGTTTTAATTTGGTCAAACATCTATTATTAGAAGTTTTAGGTAAACAACTTTAAGGAGAACTTCTTGGTCCCAAAAAGTTTTACAAATAACTTGTTTTTCAAAGTTTTTTTGGTCCACAGTTGTGTACATTAAAATTCAAAATTGTGACACAAACAAATCATCTTGCCAAATGTATTTTTCCTTAACTCACAAATATCTATCAAAACAGCCAATAAAATACCTAACAGTTGGTTGCCAAACAGGGCCATCCTTACTTCCAAAATGTCAGAAAAAATATTTCTTGTGATAACCTATGTATAATTTCTTGTGATAACAATGCCACTCGGCCTAGGTGCTTACAAATCTAAGCCGATGATGGAGGAAAGAAATAAAAGAAAGAAAAGTTGTGACAATTATAATTATTTATCCAGAGTTGGCGCAATGCTTTAAAGTACAAACTCAACATGTGATGACATCCCCTAAACACAACTACTGTGTTCTTGTTTTACGAGAAAACACTTAAAAAGTAGAAAGAAAGGTCAGTTTGTTAGCACTAAGGTTGTGTTTGGTTTGAGGGAAGGGAGGGAAATGAATGGAATAGTTATCTAAATATATTTGGTAAATCCTTAATCTCCACCCCCCTCCCACCTCTTCAATTGAACACAACATAACAGAGAAATAAGACAAAACATAAAGGTGATATGACAAAGTGAAAGAGCAGGGTTACTAAATACTAATAGTAGCCACAGTACTTGATTCGAGTAAAGCCAACACTCGAGTGTTCCAAACAAAAGGTCAATGATCACATAGATTAGCTGACTAGTTAAATGAACTTTGGTTTATTTGTTAGACTCTACTAATTTGTGTTCTGTTATGTTCTCTGAGCCAAGGTCTTTCAGAAACAGCCCTCTTTACCATCTTAGGTTGGGGAAAGTAAAGTTTGCGGACACCCACCCCCTCTCAACCTCATCTGTGGGATTCTACTAGGTTGTGATTTCTAAATATGTCAAGATTCAAGAATTGCATGCGTGGACACATACACGAATACATTTAAAAGCATAACATCAAGTTCAACATACAATCATATGTGATGCCTCCCCCCTATAAAGCTTCCCAGCTTCACTTATGAAATTTCTAGATCTGGAATTATTAGTCCTAAACCATTGCCATGAGAACATTTAAAATATTACAATTGTGCAGTTCAATGGCAAATTGATACACTAGCAAGATAGAAAGACGTGATGAAACAAAAGCGCCATAGAATACCTCGGATTTTATTTTCTCAAGGCCCCTCTCAAAATTCTCCCTTGAAGTAGGTGTATGCAGTGGTCCAAGTAAAGTGCCCTTTTCTAGAGGATCCCCTATCTTGACTTGCTTGTATGCATCAACTAGACGTTCAACTACTTTCTGATATATACTTTCATGAAGAAGCTTTATTGAAAAGATCACAAAAGAAGAGTATTAGCAGCAAAATTATCATAATTATACAATAAAGTGTAAGATGCATAATGAAAATAAAAATGTTTACCAGTCTACGGCAAGTTGTGCAGCGCTGACCAGCAGTTCCGACCGCAGCAAACACAACAGCGCGAACCACAAGTTCAATGTCAGCATCATCCATGACTATTATGGCATTATTACCACTTAGTTCAAGTAGGCATTTGCCAAACCTCTGGTTTACTGTTTGCTGTACTGAAAGACCGACCTGACATACAGATGCATTGCAAATACAAATATGGCATATGTAAGTCAGAATATTCTCATCAATAAATATACTCCATAATTGTTTGGGGATACAGCACATCAGAAGATGAATATTCATCAGAAACAAGCAGCATGTGCTACCTTTGAGCTACCAGTGAATGATACTAGAGGGATTCGCGTATCTTTTGCTATGGCTTGACCAATTTCTGCACCCGCACAAAAAGCAGTGAAAATTGCTCGAGGCAAATTGTTTTTCTCTAACACTCCGGTGATAATTTTTGTCAATGCTATTGTTACCAACGGTGTGGTTGGAGCACCTTTCCTGTGACCATATAGTAGATAAACAACATCAGAAAAACTATCCTGTTGACTCTAATCAAGAAAGAGATTCAAACAAGTGCATCAACAATAAAGTGAACACACAATGAGAAAAGTAGGCATTATGTACATTAAGAATGCCAGGCTAAATCATATAAGAAAGGAACTATATAGCAAGAGCAAGCACAAACATTCACTCTCAGATCTTTTCTTTCTTAATAAGTGAAAAGAGGATAAGACAGTTTTTCTTAGGAGCTCACCAGACAACACAGTTGCCGCATACTAAGGCAATGCATGCATTCCAACCTGTACAATCACGTGGGAAAAAAATGCATGTTAATGCTAAATCAATGTAATAGCAACTTTCCTAAAAAAAATCTAATAGCAACATTGTTGGACACTTGGCCAATATTATGCCAAATCAAAATAATAAATCATCAGATAACATCCTTCAAAAACTCCAATGGATTTAACAAAATATCAGGCACACTCCCCATTTAAACGTTATATAGCAAAGACAAATCATCAATATATCCCAAATATGTTATAAACAAATCTCAATTCTTACCAAGAACTGCACATGGAAAGTTGAATGCGGTAATCACGCCAACTATACCAAGAGGATTCCACATCTGTCCATGAAGAATATATAAGGAATATCAAAAGTATACAAAAAGCACAATACCAAAATCATGGTCTGTTATTTACTGCACCTCCAACATGGCATGATTGGGACCTGTAAACCACAAAAAAAAGACTTTTAAATTGATTCCTTTGAGTGTCAAGTTAAAACTATGAAGACTATTAATCTAGAGAAGGAATAACATTAAAAAGAAAGGTATCCTCAAAAATACCACACTTTAATTTGAACATTACAAGAAAAAGAGAGATAAGCAGGTGAAGATGAGTGGGCTCACGTTCTGATGGTATGACTGCTCCATTCAGTTGTCGGCTCAATCCAACAGCAAAGTCGCACATGTCAATAATTTCCTGATTAAATTGTTTTCAATGTTACATCATTAAATCATAACAGCATAAATGCTGAAGCTATAAAAATCCACTTGCATAAAAAATCACAGATTTAGTCTCTAAATGCTCATCCGAAATGCATTTGAAAGAGATAGTGTGGCAATCAAAAGGAAGATTCCCAGACTTGTGACTGTACCATGCTGGAGCCTGAAGGGATACCAAAGTTGATGTTTGACTAAGCTAGGAGTCACAGATTTTACTAATAAAATAAGAGAGGATGGACTACAGTGGTTTGGCGATCTCGCGGCTGTGGAGAAGTGAAAAGGCATGCCACAAAGGGAGTGGGACGAGCAGCAAGATTGGATAGGGTGGCCTTAAACCTTTTTGCAGATATGATCTCACATAGGAGGTCTAGAAAACACCACCATATTAGGGATGTAGAGCCCTTGTAGGAATTGTAAGTGAGGGAAGTCAGGGGTTGGTCGCTTAGCCTGCTGGTGTTGGTTAGCTTCTGGCAGACTCTCTGCTTGTTGTATTGCAGAGTATATTCTTTCTTTATTGATTGGTCATTTTATTTTTTTAAAATTTCTGAAACTATTTTTCTTTTTGTCAATGTACTCTCGGAAACAGTGTCTACCCCTTAGTGTGGAGGTTAAGTCTGCATACATCTTTTCCTGGGAGCCCCTGACGCTACTGTTGAGTGGGATATATACTGAGTTTGTTTGTTTCAAGGGAAGATTCCAATATGTTCACATACAAGTAGGTTATAGCGGTAACTAATTTGTAAATCACAATAGTCAACTCTCCTCAAGAGATGGAGTTAAATTTTGAGCTACGCCACCCTAGAAGTAAAGTACATACTTGAACCTCCCCAATTCCTTCAGGTAGTATCTTCCCCATTTCAAGCGAAACAAGTCGGCCAAAGTACTGAAGCTTTTCTCTGAGTGCATCACCAATCTGCCTAACAATATCACCTCTTTTTGGTGCAGGGACCTGAGAGACGAAATTGAAGCAGCAAAGATATTTAGTGAACATAAATAAAAGGAGCCTAGAAAAGCTCTAGGACACAATTAAGATGATTTTTTCACACATTAAGCACAAAAATCAGCAAAATGTGACTCAATATTTTAAACGAGTGATTAGATAGATGAAAGTGAAGGCAAGAAACAGAGAGGCGGGGAGCATACCTGCATCCACAGCTTCGCTGCAGAATTACAAGCCTTCATGCCTTCTTCATAATCTTCTATTGAACCTTCAACAACTTCGGCTATTGTCTGAGTTGATTAAAATATGTCAAATAAATTAAACAATCACAGACCAATCCATTGAAAAAAAATACTCCATCCGTCCAAAATAAGCCTTATTATTTCATTCCAGTCCATCCCTTCTCTACCTCCAAAAAAAGCTTACATTATTTCTTTCTTTTCTGAATAAATTTCAAACCACGTTCTTCGATTTGTCAGTGTGGCGGGTCAAACCTGGAGCTAGGTAATAGTGCGGAAAGGGTATTTATGAGTAACAAAAACTATGGATTAAACTTCTAGAATGAATGGAATTCAGAACCCATAAACTCTCAAAGGAACTACCACAGAACCTAATCATTGGTGAGAATGGCAGTTACAGACAGTCTCCATTAAATACTCACTCAGGCCATTTCATAAACGAACGGGAGAAAACCCATGAACTGACCTCGTTGTTGGCAGGATTTACAGAGGAGACAGTAGGGCCGCTAGCTTTCCACGCCCCATTGACGTAGCAACCGAGATTTCTGGAGCCGATTCCGATCTCCTTGAGGAACTCGTACTCTGGCTTCGCGAAACTCATCTCTGCATTCCAAAATAATGTCAATAGAGCATGAATAAATGGAATCGAAGCGAAATGATCCGGTGACCACAAGCTCGGATTATGGTGACGTGGTGAACCGGAGAAATGGCTTGATATGATCGTCTGTCATACCTATCACAGTACTGCACACTCTCAGTGCCGATGGCGGAGCAAGTGCGCTGGTAAATAGAATTGCAGGATGCTCATTATCCCGTTTTTGACGTTTTATATATCTCTATCTCCTCGACTAGACCCCACGTAATCGCCATTTAATCTTTATTAAATAAGAAATTTAGGACGAAAACATAATAACTTTTTCAATATATATGATCATATGTTTTTATTTTCTAATGTAAGACCTTTCGTTATTATCAATTAGTCATTATTCAAGTAAATATCTATCATTATTGGACATTACTCCTCCCACTAGACATTATTAAGTCCTATTTAAAGAATATAAAAAAGTTTAAGTCCTACATTGGGAAATGACTTATGTTTTTGTCCTATTTAGAGCAAATTCCACTTATTAAATTACTTAATAACAATGTGTTTTTTAAAGTGAAATTTACGCTAAATAGTATTAGTATATATATCATTTTTGATGTAATACTTAAACATTTTTATTTTTTAAATAATATTTGAATAATGTCTAGTGGCGGGATTAATGTCTAGTAATGGTGGATATTTAATTTGAACAATGTTCAATGGAACTGGACATTTACTTGAACAATGACTAATGGACAATGTCTAGTGGTATTACATTGAGAAATAAAACATATGAAACTACATTGGAAAATTCACTATATTTTAGTATCATTTAGGTAAAAAAAATCTTAAATTAGTCCTCAAAATTGAGTATGCGCTGATGCCTTTGTATTTTTTTCTATTTAATTCCACAATTAGGTCTTGTTATGTTTATTTCCACGAAGCTTAAGTTCATTAGAAAAACTATTGATTTTGTATTCCAATATTACTCATCTGATATTCCAAAAGAGTTGAGTCATTCTAATGGCAATGTGAAGTATAAAGTTAATGAATACAATTTGTAGCATTGCTTGCATTTTATCTCTTTGAAAAGAACGAAATGAAGCATTTGAAGATATTGTTTTCAAAAAATAAGTTTAAACTAAGATCTATTTAATTTTTAAACATAGCCCCGTGCAAGGCATCAAAGTCATCTGTTTGATAAATTATAGATCTATGGTTTAATATTAGATCTATTCATTTATTTAAACAAACCGAGCATGCATGGGAGATATCTGTAAAAATTTTTTATAGATCTTTGGTTTTAAATTAGATCGATCTCTTAATTTTGTATAGAAACTGAAGCATGCATAGGAGTGATAGATCTGTTTAAAAAATTATAGATCTACGGTTTCATATTAGATCTCTTGATTTCTTTTTAAGAAACTGAAGCATGCATCGGAGCAATCTGTTTTATGAATATATATATATATCAGTTTTTGTTTTCATATTACTTAAATGTAGTGATTGATTTGAGCCTCCCGTGCTCACGCTGACCAAGGTAAAGAGAAATGACACTTTGTAGATCTGTTGAATCCCATTAAGAGGCCGAAATTAACATCCCATTACCACCCGGCCCATATAACAGTAACCTGGCCCATTTATTTATTCTCGACGGGAACACTGTTCAAAAGTGCCTCACACCTTTGTATAGATTAAGATTAAGATTAAGATTTCAATGACTCTTATTATTTAATTAATTTCATCTACTTTTTCTATCTTTTAAATCATTTTGACTCTCTCTTATTTATATCAATTTATTTTAAAAGCTAAAATAGGCTAGTCAATGACATTTTTTACCCTTCCGTGTCTCGTTATTATCTTTCATTGTTTTTGCTCATGTTTTCAATGTATCATTTTTACTATTAATATTGATATTTAAATATAGTTATACTATCTCCGTCGCTGAGTATTTATCCAGTTTTGACTTTTTTCAATCAACTATTTTTAACCTATGACATATAATTAAATAAAATATATAATATATATTAGTTAGATAAAATAATATTTTTGAAAATATTTATTTGATGTAATAAATCTAATAAAACTGTTTTTGTAGGGATAATCAATAATATTATTCTAAATAGGTGAATTCTCTCTCTAATCATGGGGAAGAGAGGGCGGCCAACGAAGTTCGACGGAAAAGTGATCGGAGAAGGTGAGACATCAACAGGGAAGCAGGTAGAAAACGCAGCTCAAGTACCTACTCCTAAGTCCAACAAGGAGGGGTCTATAATCGCATCAGAACAGGAGTTGCAAGAGACACAAACGGAGGATAACGTTCTGAAGAAAAGCTATGCTGAGGCAGTGGGGATCCAAGATGAATTGAACCTAGATCTGAGGTTTATACAAGCTGAAATAATAGAAGGACAACCTATCCCGCGACTGACCTCAAAGGACATTATTGAGCGAGGTACATATTGGGATTTAGCCCTATTTGCTGCATACTAGGAACGAATCCACCCTTAGATGTAATCAAGGGTTTCACATCTCGCATCTGGAAAATGTACCAAATTGATGATATTACTTTCCTCAAAGAGAGTCAATTCATAGTGAGATTCTAAAAGGTTGAGGACAGGGATGAAATTATCAAGCGGAAGTATTATTATATGGACAACAAACCCGTCTATGTCCAGAAATGGTACCCAGGGGTCAAGCTAAATATAATGGAGCTTAAGGATATCCCGATCTGGGTTCAATTTCCATATCTAGATATGAAATACTGGAGTTTATCAGGCCTCAGCAGATTAGGAAGTGCAATTGGACAACCAATTAAAAGGGATAAGGCAACTGCTTCGCGAAGGAAATGGTCTTATGCCCTCATACAAATAGAAGTCCAAGTGAACCAACAATTCCCAGATCAAATCAATTTTATCAATGAGGAAGGAAGAATTATCACACAAAATGTCACCTATGAATGGTCCCCTATGCTGTGTAGTCATTGTAACAGGATTGGGCATTCCCATAAAAACTGTAGAAGAAGGACAAACCAAAAGGAAGGACCTAGAACCAATAAGGGCTTTATCTGGAGACCCAAGCCAAATAAGGGTAGAGACCCCGATGAAGAGNCCCCCCCCCCCCCCCCACTAGTAGAGACTAATAAACTGACTGAAGAGGGGGAGAAAGAGAGGACACCAAGAACACAGAGGTAGCTTAGGGAGAAGAAGAGTTCATTGAGGTATGTAAAAAGAAAGCTGCTAGGAGAATTTCCCCAGAAGGAAAAGAATGTGAATATGTTGGGCTTATACATAAGGATCTCATAGCAGTCCTGTATAAGGGACACCTACCTTTCTTACTATGATTGGATGTTGGAACATAAGGGGCCTCAATAACCAGAATAAACAATTTGAGGTGCTGAGGTTTATCAATAAACATAAACTTGCTGTTTTTGGTATCCTGGAAACTAAAGTAAGAGATCCTAACTTCAAAGATATAGAAGGCAGACTAGTTCAAGGATGGAAATCAGTAATAAATAATAATGCTCACCCCCTTGGTAGAATTTGGGTTCTGTGAGACCATAATAAAGTTGAGATGAAGATCCTGGACATGGCTGAACAATCTATTCACTGCCAAGGTAGAGTATTAGGAACTAATAAGGAGTTTTTCGTGACTTTTATTTATGCGCATAATGAGCCAAATAAAAGGAATGAACTATGGAATACTCTACAAAGACTTACTGATCCTAGAGCCTGGTGTGTCATGGGTGACTTTAACACAGTTCTACATATGGATGAAAGGATTATAGGAAACCCAATTAGCTTGGAAGAGATCAAAGAATTCCAAGAATTCCTTACCAATTGTGGATTGGAAGATCTCTCATTTGAAGGCTTAAAACTAACTTGGACAAATAATTAGAACCTTGGGAGGAGAATATATTCTAAAGTAGACAGAGTGTTGGGTAATCTGGAATGGATAAATACCTTCGATTTCAAAGTCATCTTCAAGGAGTGTGGTGTATCTGATCACTCCTCCATGTATCTACAACAGATAGATCAGGCTAGATTAGGACATAGCTTTAAATTCTGTGATATGTGGACACTTGATCCTCTCTTCCCTGAATTGGTGTCAGAAATTTAGGATCAAGAGCACAAGGGTTATCCAATGCACCAAGTCTGCCAAAAGCTCAAACATCTTAAGGGGCCCTTGAAAGAACTGAATAAAAAGAAGTTTCAACATCTGAAAAAGCAAGTGGATCAAGCCAGAGTTAGGCTTCTCAATACTCAAGAGGAGATGAAAAATCAAATTAATAATGAATAGTTGCTGGAATTATAAAGGAAATTAAAACAGGAGCTGCACCTGAAGATCAAAGCAAATTTCCTGCTGAAAAGCCAACAATCCAAAGCAGAATGGATTACCTATGGTAACCAAAACACAAAGCTATTCCATGCTTGGATCAGAAAAAGAAGACTACAAAATCACATTACTTCACTATGCAACACCTCTGGTGAAAGGAAGGAGGGTAAGGAGGAAGTGGCCAAAGTACTCGTTGACTTCTTCCAGAGACAGCTGTGAACTAGAGTAAAGACTGAGGACATCAACAAAGAGGTGGTTGCTATGGGTAAGAGTATATCTATTAATCAACAACTCTCTTTAATATCCCCAATCACTACTAATGAGATTAAGAAATGTTTTTTTGATATCCCAAATCAAAAAAGCCCAGGCCCAGATGGATATAGCAGTGGTTTTTTCAAGAATTGTTGGCCAAAGGTGGGACCATTAGTAACTGAAGCAATCCTGAATAACTTTCACAATGATGACACTATAAAACATATCAACACAACCAATATTACGGTTATCCCTAAAAAGGATAATTCTGCCAGCCCTAATGAGCTCAGACCCATTGCCTGCTGCAATATCATTTACAAGGTTATTTACAAGATCATATGTGGAAGGCTAAAAAGGTTCTGCCTAACATTATAAACCTAAACCAGGGAGCATTCATAGAGGGCAGGGAATTGGTTCACAATGTTTTACACTGCCAAGAATTAGCAAGGGGGTACAAGAGGAAGGGCATATCTCTTAGACGCTTGATGAAGCTAGATTTACAAAAAGCTTATGACAACATTAGCTGGAAGGCTATTGAACAACTCCTGGTCCTACTAAAATTCCCATCCAAATTCACCAAATGGATTAAGTTTTGTATCACAACCACTTCATATTCCATATAGTTTGAAGGAGAAAGCTATGGGTTCTTCAAAGGGAGAAAGGGCTTAAGGCAAGGGGATCCAGTATCCCCTCTTCTATTTGTTTTAATTATGGAATATCTCACCAGGGCCTTCAAGTTCTATGCTAAGAGGGAGGGTTTCTCTTTTCATCCAATGTGTAAATCCCTTGAACTCATCAATATAGTGTTTGCTGATGATCTAATTGTGGCCTGTAAAGCTGAGGAAAAATCTATCTCCTGTATATTGCATGCATTGGAACATTTCAAAAGCACCACAGGTCTCTCTGTGAGCAAGGCCAAATCAGAAATTATATTTGGAGGACCAGTACCATGATGGAGGAGAAAATTTTACAAGCTACTAATATGGAGAGGGGGGGCTTCCCTTTCAGATACTTAGGTGGCCCCATTACTTCTTCCAGAATCAGCAACAGAGAATGTGAGAGGCTAGTGGAAAGCATGGCTGTCAAAATCACTTCCTGGACTACAAAGCATCTCTCTTATGCTGGGAAAATCAACCTAATCAACTTAGTGCTATATGGAATTATCACTTTTTGGAGTAAAATGTTCCTGATACCTACAAAGGTGATGAAGAGGATCCAATCCCTATGCAGAAATTTTCTGTGGAGCTCTTCATTTGAATACAAAAAAGTTCCACTTGTTGCTTGGGAGGATGTATGCACACCAGAGAGGAATGGAGGGCTGGGATTAAAGAACTTAATAATGTGGAACAAAGCTTGTATTATGAAATTAATATGGGACATTGCATTGAAGAAAGACATACTGTGGATCAAATGGGTACATACAAGATATCTAAGGGATCACAATATATGGGATTGCCCAACAAAAGCTGATTCTTGCTACTACTGGAAGAAATTTATCAAGATTAGAGAAGAATTTGCTGTCATGGATAAACACACTATATATACCCCCAAACTTGGATACCAATGGCTAATGGGTCAGAAACAGACTCTTGACTCGACTCAACTTGTGTGGAACAAATTAGCTATCCCTAAGCATAAAATTATACTCTGGTTAATTTGTAAGGAGAGGTTGCAGACAAAGTCCAGACTCAGCAGATTTTCCCAATTGACACCTTATGTCTGCGGTGTAAATCTGAAGAAGAAGACTGTCAGCATCTATTTTGTAGATGTCCATATGCAAAGTCAGTGTACCTGGGAATTAGCGAGTGGATCAATTTCAAGATTGAAGGGGAGACTATTAGAGAAGTGCTAAGCAGATTGAAAGCTAACCAACCAGCCAAATACATATTGAGAGTGGGAGCCATCTTTGCTTCATGCACATATTTTATTTGGAGAGCTAGAAACTATTATTTGCATAGGAATACTTTCCTGTCTGTGGAAGAAACAATCCACAAAATCAAATACACTGCATGCATCTATCTCTCTGCCAAAGATAGAAGCCATACTTGATTTTATTATGTGTAGTCTTGTAGCATGAAGAATATATAGGGGGTTGTATGCATGTGTTATCAAGGTGATACATAGTGGTGTCCCTATGTACTGGTGATTTGGAGTTTAATAATATTTGCATTTTGTTCAAAAAAAAATTGTTTTTGTATCAATATCTAATATCACTTTTTTTAATTTGATGTCAAAATTTATCAGTTTTGACCGAAAAAGTCAAAGGTGGACAAATATTCAGGGACGGAGGGAGTATTCTTTTAAAGTTTTAATATTTCAAAACTTTTTTAAAAAGAAATATTGATATTACATTTATAAGAACACACAATGTTTTTTTACATATCCTGGTCAAAGTTAAAAAAATTTACAAATGAAAAAATTAAATTCAGATGTAACAACTAAAAAGCATTGCATTAATTGTGTGAAGTCAAATATGGGATGTGAGCAAACTCATCCACCCAATTTAGGGTAATGCACTGACCAAACTCATCCACACAAATCTCTGTGATCTATGCACCGTTTCATCTCTCTCTAGGGTTTCACCATTGCGATCTACGCCGCCGCCCGTGAGCACCAAATATGGACCTTTGCATAGCCTTCAACCACTAATGTAGCTTAGTTTACCTAGTGAGGCTTCAGCATTGACTGTCGGAAACAGAGTCATTTCGGTAGGGAATGTAAGTGTTTCATCTTGAATTGCATATTTCTTTTCAAATTCGTTCTTCGAGTATGTACTAATCCCCGATTTTATATAATTTTGCCAATGAATTCTTAGATCTGCTGATACGGCACTACGCCAAAAACAGTATCAGATCACTGTTGATTAACTACTTTTAATGGAAACACAGTAGTTGGAAAAAAACAGACTACTGTAAGTTTTTCTTGGCAACATAACAGTAGTCTAGGTTGTATGCTTTAAAACTATTTTTAAAGTTTCAAGAAACGGTAATGTATCATTAGTTGTCTGTGTTAGTTCAAAATATAGTTTTTCTTAGAACAGTTTTCAATAACAAGTTAAGAATACTCTATTTAAACAATAGTCTGGGCTTTTAGTCTACGACTATTTCTAAACTTTTTAGAAACAGTTATGTGTTGCTTGTTGTCTGTTTCATATGATATTTTGCCACTGTTGTTTATAATTGTAATAGAAGACTGTTTGGCAACAATAGTCTATGTATTATGGGTAGAATTGTTTTTGAAGCTGTGAGAAACTGTCATCTATCATTAGTAGTCGGTTTCATAAAAAAATACAGTTTTTATTGCCACAGTTGTCAATAATTAGTTAAGACTACTACTTAGTAACTGAAGTCTGGTTTCTCGGTGTATAATTGTTTTTAAACTTATAAGAAATAGTATTGTATTGTTAATTGTATGTTTCATATGGTTTTTTTTGCAGAATTGTTTATTATAAGAATAGAAGACCCCCTTGTAACAGTAGTGTATTTATATAGCGTAGAATTGTTTTTGAAATTCATAGAAGCCGTAATCTATTACAAGTTGTCTATAATAAGTTAAGAATACGATTTTTAAACAATAGTTAGACTATTAAGCCTAGAACTATTTTTAGATTTTGAGAAACCGTAATGTATTACTAACACACCATAGCTCAAATAGACCCCAATAGTAGTTCAAACTCCCCAAACATAATAGAGATTTCCACTCCAAACCATAGTACACACAGCCCCCAAAGGAGTCTGCTGTTCGAAAATGACAACTAAGAAAACCAAAGTTTCCAGCCCCAATCAAGGCCAGGAACTTATTCAAGGCAAGTAGACCCGTAGAATGGAGAAATGGACAGTGCTCGAGACCAAGAAAATTCAAGGAGAAAACACTCATTAATGGATTACAAATTTAGTTAAAGAGATGAAATGCACCCTAAATCATGACTAAAATGCACTAGAGAGTCGGAGAAAAAGAAAGCAAGAAACCTGGGAAATCACAGTTTCAAGTTCGTCTGTGAACGAATTCTTACATATACTGGAAATCCAACTTTAGAATCTTTTTTAGCATCCCAAGTCGCCCAAGGATAAAATGTAAATTATTATTACCCCTACTTAGAACGGTACATCAATGTTATATGCTGAACCATAAAAATGGTTCCATACATGAAATGAATACAACAACAATACAACAATACCACAACTTGGCACGCAGGCCGTATAAAAAGACAATCAAAACAGCAAATCTGTAGTTCCATGATTTCAAGTACTTATCCACATCAAATGGCAGGCCACAAAGCAACACAAACCTGTCCACGGCATCCACAAGGCAGCTTGCATACTCTCAAAGAGTCCTAAAAGTGCAATAGGTCAGCCCATATACTGCCCAGGCCACTTCAAGTTCAAGTTGCATTTCAGCGGAATCAAACCCAATAAGTCATAAATCAGCATCCAAACAACCCAAAAATCAGCACACTGCATTCACAGCCCAAAAAGAGGTACAAGCAGTGGTAAGGCTGCCCAAGCAGCCACTCGATTCCCCCTGCCATCATGCCATTGTCCAGGCTATGGCTAACCAAAACAATGTTCATTTCAGCACATAGGAGACCACCACGAACCAAAACAGCTGCTTTATCAAATGGTAGGCCACCACGAACCAAATCAGCCCATAACACATCCCACAAGTTTCCGAGCTCGAAGTTAAACTTCCCACTCAATTTTGGTTCAAAATCAGGTTTACCCAACCAAAACAAGAGTGCTAACCAGTTGTTTTTGTTGCAAAATCTACACAAAGGCCTCCCCTAGCAAAGAGAAACCATGTAGGAGCCATATTGAGAACCTCCAAGCAGGTAACATCCGAACCCAGCTTACCACAAACCAGCTGTAAAAGCTTGGCATGAGGTTGGAGGTTGATGAGTCCATGCAAAAAATAATCCAGCAAAACATCCCCAAAACCATGCCATCACCATTCCCAATTCAACCCAACACAAGTAGCAAAAATCATAGCAGTACGAGGTTTACACACCATTCAAAACAGCAAAATAACAGCCCAAAACGAACCAAAACAGATGCAAAAACTAAGTCCAGTAATTCAGCTTCAAATTTCGAGAATAGCCTAGTGGTACAACTCACAATTTAGCTTCATAGTAACATCACCCTCAACAAAAATATTGCACAAAACGTGGTCCAACACAGGAGCAAAGCAGACTCAAAATACCGAGTGGTGTAGAGTAACAAGGACCCAGATTTTTACAGAATTACTAGAATGGAATTGTAATCCATGCTCATACCTTAGATTACAAGACCATTTCAATCAGAATCCACAAAGAAAATCCTTCAATTTAGCTTGAGACGCCATAAATCTTCATATGAGTTCGCAGATGAACAGTAACTGTGCTGTGTTGACCTTCGGTTTTGCCCAAAATCACTTCCAAAAACAGCAAGATAACCTCAAATACGGATTCACCCGCTCCAGGCACATCCTGAGTTCCAAAAATCTGAAGCAAAGCCCTCAATTTGATGGAGAAACGGTGAGAAACTCCCTGCGCGGCACTGTTCATCGCTGTCTCAATCCCAAGTCGCCCAAGAAACCACAAAGGATTGCCTTCAAATGAGCTTGAACTGATGATGTGGATTAATCCACAAAATGTCATAGATGAATAATGACTCAAGAGGGTTGGCCTTCAATTTTGCCCAGATTTAACCTTCGAGGTCTGCAATTGATCTTAGCACTCGGTTCCCACGCCTCAAAGAGGAAGAGATACCAAACTTGAATGGATTAAGATGTGGTGATACGAAACTTGCAAAGAGGAAAAAACAAAATTAGGAAGCGGGAGAATTAAATTGGGAGGAGGGAGAATGAAATTGGAAAGAGGGAGAATGAAATTGGGAAGAGGGAAAATGAATTTTTTTGATAATTGGGAAGAGGGAGAATGAAATTGGGAAGAGAAAAAACTTCCCATTTTTTCTATGTACTTCCAGTTTATTCCAACAATGATTAAATGTAATTTGATGATATCTTATTTGATCTGATCTTGTCTGATCTAATATGTTAAGATCTAGTCTGATTTGATCAGATCTGAGTGAAATTATATGTAAGGTTATTGATCATTTGATAAAATAAAATACTCTTGTCACCTCTTATTTTGTAGAGTTTTTGATATAATTTTTAAATATAATTTTTTTTGTGTTATTTTTTACCAATTTGCAAATAATATGATTTTAAAAATCACGGGGTTTTACACGTTAATCAAAGTAAGAAATTCTTTTTATCATAGAAGAAAACGTTGTTTTGGAGAGATCTAAAATGGGATCTTAATTATATCACCAAAAATATACAAGTAACCAGTTCAGTTATCAGTACCAGAAAGATCTTATACGGTCAAAAATATGAGTATCCTAAGGAATTGTATCAGTGTGAGTAGAAGTTCAGTTATTAGTACTTCTAAAATTGTATTAGCTCAAAAGTATACATATTTAGAAGAATTGGATCTCCACAATTACCTTGTTATTATCAGTACTTGTAAGATCTTATATGGCCAAAAATATGAGTATTTAGAAGAATTGGATATGTGCAAGTATCTAGTTCAGTTAGCAGTACCGGAACGATCTAAGGCAATTAGGACACAACATATACAAGTAAATAGATCTTCTTTGAAGATTTGATCTGATATTATAATATTCAAATTTCTTTTGATCAGTTAGATCTGTTTTGGTTTAATTCGATATAATTATTTCCGATCTGATCCTTTTAAAGATTACATAAGAAAAATAGGACACAATCTATATAAAAGTTTAGATTTTCTTAGAAAATTTGATCTGATCTTATTGGTTTTGAATTTGATTTGATCCGATTAGATTTGTTTTTGTCCAATTTGATCTAATTACGTACGATCCGATGCTTTTAAAGATTAGACCAGGGAAATAGGACACAACCTATATAAGTGAATAGATTTCCTTCAAGTTTTGATCTTATCTTATTAGATTCGAATTTGATTCGGTCCGATTGGATCTATTTTGGTCTGACTCGATCAAATTAGATCTAATCTAGTTAGATCTAATCTAATTTGATTTGTTTTGGTCTAATTTGATCTAGTTTGTTCTGATCTGATGTATTTATAGATTAGATCAGCCTAAAAGGACACGACCAATATAATTGAGTTGTTTTTTTAAGATTTGATCTGATCTTAATAGATTTGAATTTGATTCGATCAGATTAGATCTTTTTTTGTCTAATTCGATCTAATTAGGTCTGATTTAATGCGTTTAAAGATTAGATCAGGCAAATAGGACACAACATATACAAGTGAATAGATTTTCATGAAAGATTTGACCTAATTTAATTTACTCTTTAATTTTATATAATTAATACACAATATATATTTTATTTAATTATAGATTAAATATTAAAAATAATTAACTGTAAAAATTTAAATTATTCAAATATTCAAGTACAAAAGTAGTACTCCCTCTGTCCCCTTTTATATTACAATATTCCCTTTTAGACAAAATTAAGGAAGAGTAAGTCAATATTTTTTTCGCTAAATTACCACCAAATAGTATAGGAATGGGTGGATAGGTGAGATTTTGACATTGAAATGATAAAGGAGAGAGATGGTAAAAGAGTTCATTTAGTGTAAAAGTAAACACTTTACTCCCTCCGTCACGCTATATTCGTCCACTTTTGACTTTTGGAACTGCTCATCTAAGCACTTTGACTCATCAAATTCTCTCAATGTGTAAACCTAAATATAGTCATATGTGATCTTGTTTGATTTGTCTTAACATATAGATTATTAATATATAATTTCTATAATTTTTTAATATACAAATTACAAGATAAAATGGATTAAAGAAGTGTATTGGATGGTGTGCAAAAATGAAAGTGGACAAATTTAGTGGGACGGTGGGAATATTTTTTTTGGGGTAGGAGGGAGTATAAAAATTTGGCTTCCGTATCTTCTAATTTCAAAATGAATCTTCACCGCAATAAAATTTTATGAGCAATGCTAGAGGTACATCTACACCACCTCTTTCTCCACCACACATTTTTATTTACTTATTTTTTCTTGAATTTCTTGCCTTTTTTGTGAACAAGGAGGGGGTGAAGGACAAATGGGATACACATTTGATGTACCCTAGCATTTTTCAAATTTTATAATTCACTCTTCAAGGTTTCAAAATCCCACTTCAAATTTACCAATTTCATTTAAAATTTTCAAAATCTTCCAATTTCAATTCATTTCAAATTTTGAAAACCTTATCTTTTTTCTCTGTTCTCATCCACCTGACCACCACCCAAAACCACGAAGGCCTTTGAACTACTCTCGCAGCACTGTTCTTGCCCTTTGCATAGATTGCCATTACACATGATTTTGCGGTTCGATCTTGATGATTTTTTATGCGTTGGTATCGTCTTCAACAATTCTTCCTTCACATGAGCTCTTGGTTGTTGATTCAAAGCTAATATGGGCTAATTTGAACATCGTGTTTACTGTTCACTTCTGTATTCGCAGGTGCAATTATTCTATTGTTTTGGCCATTTTAGCGTTAAATTTGGGATGGATATGTGTGATTTAGAGTGCCCTTAGAGAATCTATAGCTGGATTTTGTTTCCAATCGAAGACTCTTGTTGTTTTGGCAGATTTGGGTTACGCTGCCACTGTTCACCGTGAGGTTGTAGACCAAATTTTCTCCAGGTTAGTGCTCGTGTTTAATCCAATTTTATGACGTTTCTTGCTCATTTTAGGGTGCTTTCCATTGTAATTTCTTGGATTTACTAATTCTGTGTATGTGTGTTGAATCCCCTAAATGCTTGGTTAATTGACACCATTCATGTTCTTTGTCATTGTGTGTGAACATTTCTGACTGTGATATCTCTGCCTTGGAGTCCTGTTGTGATAATGGGATGGAATGGAGAAGAATGTGAAGTAGGACATTAGCCAAGATAGAACAAAGGGAAACACGTTCAGAGATAGCTGTGTCTGACCATATTTCACTCCGGCCAAGATGACCCAAATAGTGGCAGATTCCCCAGGCAACAGCAGGCAGATCCGGCGAAGTCCAGCAGCTCGGGCAGAGTAACAGCCATAATCCAGTGGCGGCGGCAAGCCGGTAACTCTCCGGCGAACTGACAACCGTGGTCACCCAGCAACTCTGGCGAAGGTGAGGTTCGGGTAGTGAATTTTAACCATGGACATTGAGGATGAGACGGAGCAGCAACGATGACAGATCCAGGTGGGCTTGGGCAGTGACGGGCTTGCTTAGGCAGCGATACCGGACTGTGCGTGATGCCGTCTACCCTCCGTTTGGGTCAAGTTCTCTCTCTTACCATCTAGGTTTGAAATTCTGTTTATAATTGTTATCGTGGTTGATTTATGTGATTTATTTGTGTGATTATTGATTGTGGTTTGAGGATTGTTGTTGTTGAGTCGAAAAGGTGACCATTCCCACACTATGAAAGAATCACTTTGTTCATCACGCTCCCCCTCATCCAAGGTTTTTGTCAAGTACACCAAAGCCTTCGGGTTACTGTCATCAGCACCTCTGCCGACAAAAAACAAGAGGCCATAGAACGTTTTGGTGTTGATTCCTTCTTGATCAGTTGTGACCCTGAACAAATGCAGGTAAGTTATGATTAATTTATTCATAATTAGAGAGTATTATTATTCATTTCGCTAACAATTCTGATGATGATATGGTTTATAATTGGTTTTGGTATATATAGAAAAAAGGCTACAAAGAGCACACTTAATGGGATAAATGACACAGTTTGAACCGTTCATCCTCGTATGCCACTACTAAGCTTATTGAAGACCAATGGTAAGCTTGTATTGGTTGGTCTCCCGGAGAAACTCCTTGACTTGTTAGCGTTTCCCTTGATCATGGGTATGTAATATTAGCCACACTTCCATTCACGTGTTGTACATATCTCTGCTCTGCTTTGGCATTGATCTAAAATGAACTAAATGACATTAATTTCATGTTTTGATTGTGGATTGCTGGTAGAAAATTGGTTGCAGGAAGTGGCAACGCTGGAATAAATTAAAGGAGACTCAAGCCAACATAACATCACGCCCGATGTTGAGATTGTGCCGATGGACTATGTCAACACCGCCATGGAACGCCTAGCCAAAGCCGACGTGAAATACAGATTCGTATTGGATTTTTCCGCAGAGAAACAAGATGGATTGAAAAGGCAGGCATGTAGAATATGCAAATTGTAAGGAAGATGATGTAAATATTAAATTATTAGATGTTTATAGTATTTTAAATGTATGAATTTATATATTGTTCAATATATTATATTTTTTGCATTTATATTTATTTGGTAATCAACACAAGATAACAACTGTCTAATAAAAAAATTAACTACCATTCAAACTAATAGTTTGAAGAGTATATGTACAACTACACAAACTCGTAGTATTAATAACATTTAGACGATCAAAACAAACAGTTGTTTGAAATATTACAAAAACGGTAGTTCGTATTTTTAAAATACAACGCGAAATAATGGTTGTCTGAAGCAAATTTCCTTAGTAATCTTTAGAGTAGCTGTCTCATAAACAATTCAACTACTGTTATAAAAGATAGTTTGAATACTTCAAGAAAAACTACAAAACACCGTTGTGTTAATAATCAATATACAACTAAAACAAACAGTAGTTTGAATAAGAATAATGTTAGTAGTCAATATTCTAGAAATACAACCAAAGATAACAGTTGTCTAATGGCATTTTTGTTTAGTGGTCTTCCGAGCAGCAGTCTGATATATCTTTCAATTACTTTTTAAAGTAGATGTCTATATTGTTGAACGACAACACCAAGAATTAGAAGTCTAAAGTTAAAAACAACAGTAGTATTCATTATAGATAGACAACAAAAAATCACAGTTCTCTTTAACTCTAAAAAACAGATGTCTTATTCACACAATGACAACACTAAAAAGTCGTACTCTAAAACATAACAAAACAGGTGTCGTCAACCATTTTACACAACTGTTTTTAAACAATAGTCTATAGATATATCAGACAGCTGCTCGGAAGACTACTGAAATCAGCACCGTGAGACTACTAAATGAAACAGTTGTCAGCATCTGTTTTTGACGTAGTGCGGTAACATATCAAATAGAGAAGGGAGATTGAGAAATTGGGGGAAGAGAGTGAAGAATTTGGGAGAAGATGAGAGAAAGTAGAGGAGGTGAGGAAGAAAAAAACCGTGTGGCTAGAGAGGAGAGGAAGATGAGAATTAGGGTTGAGAGAATAATGTTTTTGATTTCTTTATTGATGACTAATCTAAAAGGGTTACAACTCAATATATAGATGAAGACGGTAAACCCTAACCCTAGCAAATACTTAGTTTCTAAGCCTATCGGTTCAATAAAAGCATCGAGGTAAAGAACCGAAAAGAAACCCTCGAAGGAGTGTTATAGTCCCACTCAACAATAAAAAGTAAATAAAAATAATTAAACTACCTAATTAAGTAAATAATATAAATTATTAATTAATCCTTCCGTATCACTGCCACCCCGATAGAGACACACCTTGTCCTCAAGGTGTAAGTAGGAAATATAAAGTGTGCAATGACTTCGTACATGCCATGTACGGTGGGGGATCCCATTCAAGCTTCAAAACATGAGACGACACGATGAACAAGAGAAATTGTCCACCTTCCAACCAAGCTCTAGAATTTTGGCAAGGCAAAGAAAGAACTCCAAACCATGTGAAGCAGGAAGGGCCCTCGAAACCAACCGAATGCAGCCTGCTACCTCCCTCAAGTACAACATGACCCCTTACTCCTTCGAACATGACATTCAATGGAAAAGCCCTCAGTGGCGAAACATCATTGGGCAACACCAACGGGTTTGCCAAGCTTATGTCACCTTGGAATCCCTTAGCACAATAATCAGAAACGATAACAGAAACCTCATCGGGAACACTTGAAAGATCAACAATATCTTTCTCTATTGTCACGACTTATATGACTTCTTCAACGTGTTCATGCAATTGCTCTTCTTTTGGTTGTTCAATGTTTGACATCCATACATTATGATGAATACATGTAACGCTATAAAACCACGTTGGAAAATCTAGATTCGGTTGCCGCGGCTCAAAAACCTTATAACAAAACCTACTTTTGTAATCACTCAGGGTCTCCCGAGTTTCCAATATAGAGAATGCATCATCAACGCGTCGCGACACATCAATTTGTTCCTGGCGGAGTGTGTGAATCTCAATGGCGAGATCCTTGACAGCTAACCAAACATCATTTAAAGATGAGGACATGAAATTTGTCATAGGGCCAAACTTCTTGATGACCTTGATTTTTTTTTCAATAAATTGAGAAACTTAATGCAGAATCCCTAATTATGGCCAAAATCAATATGTAGGGTGTAGAACAAACCTTTTTGGGTTGCGGCTGCAAAACTCCATATATTCAAGGCATCAAAATTAGGGTGAGGCTGCTTTTTGATTTGCAATTGCGACGAAACCAATTCTGATGGCGAATACGGAACCGGAACTTGTGCGGCTAGTCTCTGATATGAATTGCGCACAAGACTTTGCCCGTTGAGTTTTACTTCATTTTCAAAACAAGAGGGACAATAGTATAATTGATATGGAAGCCCAAGTTCTTGATGCAAATCAAACCGATCCCATCGGAGAGCACCAATTGATACGGTAACGTATCAAATAGAGAAGGGAGATTGAGAAATTGGGGGAAGAGAGTGAAGAATTTGGGAGAATGATACGGTAACGTATCGAATAGAGAAAAGAAATTGAGAAATTAGGGGGAGGAGATGAAGAATTTGGGAAAAGAAGTGAGAGAGCCAAGGAGGGATGAGGGAGACGAGATTTGAGAGGAGAAGGGAGAAGAAATTAGGGTTTAGGAGTGAAAATATTATTGTTCTTCAATGATGATATTCTAAAGAGGATTACAACTCAATATATAGATAAATATAATAAACCCTAACGCTAGCAAATACCTAATCTCTAAGCCTGTCGGTTCAATAAAAGCGTCGAGGTAAAGAACCGAAAAGAAACCCTCGAAGGAGTGTTATAATTCCACTCAACGATAAAAAGTAAATAATTAAACTATCTAGCTAAACTTTTAAAATATCTAATTAACTAAATAATCTAAATTATTAATTAATCCTTCTGTATCACTGCCGCCCCGATAGAAACACACCTTGTCCTCAAGGTGTAAATAGGAAAACAAACGGTGTGCAATGACCCTGTGCATGCCATGTTTGGTGGGGGATCCCATTCAAGCTTCAAAACAGTTGATGCAATAGAGAACAAAATAAATTGGCCACCTTCGGACCAAGCCTCCGAATTCTGTCCAGGCAAACAAAGAACTCCAAGCAATGTGATGAGGGAAGGTGCCTTGAAAGAAACAAAATGCAGCCCCCTACCACCCGCAAGTAAAACATGATCCTTAACTCCTTCAAACATGCTAGTCAATGGAAAAACCTTTGGTAGAGAAACATCATTAGGCAACACAAACGGGTTTTCCAAGATTATGTTTCCCGCAAAATCCGTAGCACAATCATCAAAAACAATAACAGGGAGCCTCATTGGAAACACTTATAGGAGCAATAATATCTTTCTCAATTGTCACAACTGAAATGATTTCCTTAACGGGTTCATGCAATTGCTCTTCTTTTGGTTGCTCAATGTTCGATATCCAAGCATTAGGACGAATGCCTGTAACACTATAAAACCATGTTGGAAAATCTGGATCCGGTCGCCGCGGCTTAAAAATGCTATTACAAAATAACCCACTTTTGTAATCACTTAGGGTCTCCCGAGTTTCCAAAATAGAGAATGCATCATCAACACGTCGCGACAGATCAATTTGTTCTTGGCGGAGTGTGTGAATCTCAAGGGCGAGATCCTTGACAACTAACCAAACATCATTTAGGGATGAGGCCATGAAATTTGTCATAGGCCAAACTTCCCTACCTTGATTTTTCTTTTTGGGTTGCGGCTGCAAAAGTGGCAAAACTCCATATATTCAAGGCATCAAAATTAGGGTGTCTTGCTTTTTAATTTGCAATTGCGACGAAACCAATTGTGATGGCAATTATGGAACCCGAATTTTGCGGCTAGTTTGGGGTATGAATTGCGCACAAGACTTTGGCCTCTGAATTTTTCTTCACTTGCAAAACAAGCTGGACAACAGCATAATTGACAGCACCTTATTCTGATTAATTTTTTTTTCTGGTGAGTTCAATAACGAGAGCACCAATTGATACGGTAAGGTATCGAATAGAGAAAAGAAATTGAGAAATTAGGGGGAGGAGATGAAGAATTTGGGAAAAGAAGTGAGAGAGCCAAGGAGGGATGAGGGAGACGAGATTTGAGAGGAGAAGGGAGAAGAAATTAGGGTTTAGGAGTGAAAATATTATTGTTCTTCATTGATCCTTTTCTAAAGGGGATTACAACTCAATATATAGATGAAGATGGTAAACCCTAACCCTAGCAAATACCTAATCCCTAAGCCTGTCGGTTCAATAAAAGCGTCGAGGTAAAGAACTGAAAAGAAACCCTCGAAGGAGTGTTATAATTCCACTCAACAATAAAAAGTAAATAAAAATAATTAAACTATCTAGCTAAACTATTAAAATATCTAATTAACTAAATAATATAAATTATTAATTCATCGGAGAGCACCAATTGATACGGTAACGTATCAAATAGAGAAGGGAGATTGAGAAATTGGGGGAAGAGAGTGAAGAATTTGGGAGAAGATGAGAGAAAGTAGAGGAGGTGAGGAAGAAAAAAATTGTGCGGCTAGAGAGGAGAGGAAGAGGAGAATTAGGGTTGAGAGAATAATTTTTTTGATTTCTTTATTGATGACTAATCTAAAAGGGGTTACAACTCAATATATAGATGAAGACGGTAAACCCTAACCCTAGCAAATACTTAGTTTCTAAGCCTATTGGTTCAATAAAAGCGTCGAGGTAAAGAACTGAAAAGAAACCCTCGAAGGAGTGTTATAATCCCACTCAACAATAAAAAGTAAATAAAAATAATTAAACTACCTAATTAACTAAATAATATAAATTATTAATTAATCCTTCCGTATCTAAAATGAAAAATTCTCATAATAAAGGTATTGATTCCAGATTTCATGAACTCTTCTAGTGTCTTAACTTAAAGTTTATCCTCTTTGTAGGTGTTTTTTTCAAATAGAATGAGAATGAACCAACATGAAAGATATAATGACCATCAATTCAATCTTTCTCTATTTTAACAATTGCCAAAGCCTTTCCCACATAAACTCCTCAAACCATTAAAGCATTGTAGATATTTAAAAACTTAAAATCCTCTCTTTTAAATTATAAGAGAAGCTGTTTTTTAATTTGCAAAAGCAGCCTTAAAATCATCATCCTTCAAAATTTAAAATTATTTTTTTGAAACTCTGAAAGTAGACTTTTCAACAGAAACAGAAGAAAATTTGAAATATTTAGAGCAAAGAAATTAGCTCTTTAAGAGATTAAAACTTCTTATGATTTAAATATTCCTTAAATGCATTTTGAATTATAAAAGTACTAAACCCGAAAAGAAATAGTTTTTCATTGAAACCATTAAAACTCTCACCATCATAAGGAAACATAATATATTTTGAAAGAATAGTGCAGAATATCTTAAAATATGATTTCCTATGAATAAATGTGAACTATGATTTCCATGCATTAAAGTATGCCGCTTTGACGCTATTCCACAGGTGTCTAAATGTGAATATGAAGTATGATGTGGAGAACCATCTAAATGTGTTCCTCAAAAGTTGTGGCAAAATTAAGAAATCTAATAACATACACCCGGTAATTTTTTTCATACAATGTTACAGTTCAGATCTCATTTGTTTACATTTCATTTGCAGGTACTCTATAATATTTTTACACATATATGTTTCAAGATTTTATTTCCTGGTAAAGTTTTGAAATATGCTCATAGATGATTAAATACTACGTATAATTTAACCAAATACTCAGTATAAGCTCTCTGAAAAAATATTAGTTTTGATTTGCTAACAAATATTTACTCTCAAATGAATTAATTTGCTTTATTTCTAACTCAGCTCTATAAAATATCCATGTGTTAATACAACATTGTAAATGATATTGTATATAAAGGCTTAAAGAACATTTTCTTGCAAACAGGAAGTATACTAAAGTGTAAATTCTATAATTGGTCCTTTATAACAGGGGGGTTTCCCTAATTAGTCCTCTATTATCAAATATTATCCAAGTGGTCCTTCTTTTATGGGTATCTTTCCACAAATAGTCCTTTTTGATCTTCTATCATGTTGGTGTTAATTTGAGAGCTAAAAGTGTAATTTCACAATGATAATATATCTTTTTTGTCATACACAATTTCAAAGGCTGTTCCGTTTGCATCGTTTGTGAATTATAGTCGCTTTCTACTACAACCATAGTCTACAAATGTGGTCTTTCGTCAGAACTCTAGCCCACAACCATAGTCATTATTTTTGTGTTATCCGCTTAACCAATATCAGAATACGTCACTAAACATAATGTTGATGTCAAATTATATTTTTAGCCTTTAAATTAACACCAACACGACAGAAGATCAAAAAAAGGATCATTTGTGGAAAGATATCCTTAAAAAAAAGACTACGGGGGTAATATTTGATAATAGAGGACTAAATATGGAAACCCCCTATTATAAAGGACCAATTATGGAATTTACTCTATACTAAATAATGCGCAAAAGAAGAGAAATTTCACCATATATAGCTCACATTTTTTTATTGTGTTGCATGCATTGATACCAAATTGAACTTAAATTGTAGGTTACACACTCATGGACCCGTGGTGCAAAATCAATACTTGCAACTCATTCATTTGACACTAATGTATTGTGTGTTTGACACATGCAATTTCTGATTAGGTATTTAAAGAGAAATTTTGGTGGGTAATGAATGCATTGACACAGGATTCTAAAGATTTGAATATCTCTACATATGCAATGTCCAAGAAATATTGCATATAGGAATGTGCCAAGTTTCAAAATTAAAGGCACAATTTCCTTAATTAGGCCAGCTTTATTAGCATTATACTCCCTCCGTCCTACTCTCTTTGTCCACTTAGCTTTTGGAACAAATACCAAGGAGTGGGATAAGAGAGTGGAAAGGGATTAAAATGCCCCTTATGGGCCACGCATGAGGAGAAAAAAAGGGGGGAAAGTTAATGAAAAACAGTGTCAAAAAAGTGATTAAAACAAGTACATTGACTACTCCGCATAAAACTACTCTAACAGCCTTTCTTCTTTAACCTTTCTTCTTTTTGCATTTTCTTATTCTTTGCCCTTTCTCCTTTTCTTCTTTACCTCTGAATGTTCTTCTTTGACTCTTCTCGTTTTCCTTTTCTATATCCTTTGATGGAAGAATCTAAAACACCAAGAAACATGGAAAGGGTAAAGAAAACACACAAACTTTCAGATGAAGACAGTGCAAACATCATCCAAACAATGCTACAACACTTAAAGAATGGCCAGCCTGCTAGGGGTGTCATGAAAAACCTTGCAGGAAGTCACAACATAAGCTCCAAAACAGTTCAAAGGTTGTGGTGTGAAGCCAAAAAACGGATTCAAGATGGAAAGCATGTTGCCTTACGCAACAAGATGAAAGGCAAAGCATATGGCAGAGAAAAGATAAACATAATTGTGGATGAGGTCTCAGGTGTTTCTCCAACCAAAAGACGAACTGTAAGGGCATTAGTAAAAGCCATTTCTAGGTCTAAGAGTACTGTGCACATGCTTGTGAAATGTGGACAGATAAAGGCTCACATAAATCCAATAAATCCTCACCCCACCAAAGAGAATAAGGTACGAAGATTATAGTTTTGCCTAAGCAAATTATTGCCAATTACCTTGACTCATAATGAACCCAAGTTTGAGTGTTTCTATGATTATGTGGACATAAATGAGAAGTGGTTAAACATGACCCAAACCACTCAAAGAGTCTATGTACATGCACAAGAGGAAATGAACCTGCATAGGACTATCTAATCAAAGAAGTTCATAACTAAAATTATGTTCCTTACTGCATCAGCTAGGCCACAATACTCATACTCAGCTCGGGTATGCCCGTTCTATTTGTATATCCTACTCTTTAATCTATTTACATTTTATCGGAGAAAAAATTGCATTAATTACATAGATTTAAAAAATATTTGGGAACCCGTGCAAGCGTGCAGTGACAGTTGATAGATGGGTGGTTTCCCAGTCAGTGAAAAAAACACGGAACAAATTCCTAAATTTTAAAAGTATTTCCTATCAGTGTAATACGGGTTTGGCGAACGCGAGGTGTGAAGGATTAATTGAAGTCGTGTTCGGTGAACACGAGTTTAAAAACATTAATTGAAGTCGTGTACGGTGAACACGAGTTTTAAATATCAATTAACATCGTGTTCGGCGAACACAAGTTGTGTAAAAAGTAAAAGAATTAGCATGCGTGCTGCCACCCCACTTGTTAGATTCCCCATGCCACCCAACATGTATTATGTCAGATTCCCCTGCACACCCACTCCATTAAAGTTGGTCAAAGTTGTGTTCAGCGAACACAACTTCCTCTATTATATAATTCGGGATCCCTGAATTCGATTTGTATCACAAATTTGATAATATTTTGTGATTCCTAGTCTTGAAATTTCGGTTTTCCTTCCCTAAGAATCAAAGGTATGTTTTTTTATTATGTAATACTAGAGTTAATTGATATATATATATATATATATTAAATGTTGCACTTTCTGTTATTGTTATGTTTTATTTTTGGTTCTGCTTTTCTCAAAGTCCTCAATGCATGTTTTTTTAGTTTTAAACATTTAGTTTCCTTCCTTCCTATATACTGAGTAATTTTAGGCACTTTGCTAGACTTATGTATTGCCAACTTTGCTATCTTCTATTTTTTTACTTTTTTGGTTAAAATTGGTACTTTTATCTCCTCCCTAAGTATTTGTTTACTTTTGACTTTTTTGGTTAAAATTGGTAAACTTTGACCTTAAATTAAATAAAAATGATATTAGATGTTGGTACAAAAAGAGTTTTATTAGATTTATTATGTCAAATATTTTAAAAATATTATTTTATTTAATTAAAATGTAATGTATATTTTATTTAAAATGTAATGTATATTTTTCATTCACGATTATTTTATTCAGATATGGAGGACATAGAGCGTCAACTTGCCGGTCCGATAAATGATGATATGCTCACACTTCAAGCCACTCATCGATCTAGTCGTGTTTGGTCTGATCAGGCTTTCACAGATAAAAAAGTATCAGTATGTCGGAACGATTCTCGTATTTTAGAAAAATTTAGAGATGACCGGGTTGAGCAAAATTTGAGAAGGTCTGGGTTTTATGGGGTACATCGGGTCCACCCCATAAAAATAGATCATAGTTTGATTACGGCCCTCGTTGAAAGGTGGAGGCCCGAAGTGCATGCATTTCACTTCCCGTTTGGTGAACTTGGTATCACTTTACAGGATGTTGAATGTTTAATAGGTTTAAGAGTAGACGGGGAACCCGTAGTTTTTCCTGAAATGGTTAATCCGAATACATATGTTGATCTTTTTCGTGAAGTAATTGGATTCGAGGTAATGCGCGAACATTTTGGACAAGCCGGATTTAATTTAGCTGCATTGGAGAATAACATTGACAATGAACATGAGCGACAAGTTCTACCCGGTAACACTGACAGGGAGGCGGAGAGATACACAGCTAGTGTGATATTACAACTCTTAGGTGGTACTTTGTTCCCAAATTCTACAGGTCGGTTTGTTGCTGTTGAGTTTCTACCCTTATTGCGCAGTCCTGAAATTACCGCACAATTTAGTTGGGGTTCGGCAGTTTTGGCAAACTTGTATCGCAACTTGTGTAAAGTTGCACTTAAAAAAACAGATAGGCCTAGATTTTGTGGTTGTGCTTTGTTGTTACAGCTTTGGGCTTGGTCACGTATCATTCTAGTGAGGCCCGAAGTGCGTGTGCTTAACAATGATCGACATGGCCCACTTCGAGAGGATGAGCCACATGGTGCTCGGTACGGTTATTTTAATTTAATTTGAATTTATTAATTATGCTCAACACTAGAACATGTTTACTTTGTTATACAGGTGGCGTATTCGGAGGTTGTTTAATGGCACTTCTCGATTTTCTGTTCGTAACTACCGAGACCAGTTTGATGGTTCACTTCTTCGACACGTATGTATTACACATAGTCAATATTTGAATTTTAATTTTAAAAGAACTAATATTTTATGTGTATGGTACAGGTTGTTTGGACTCCATACAATTTAGGGGCATTACCAGATTATTGTCAGGCTGGCCGCCAATTGTGGTTTTACGAAGGCTTCATCATATTTGACTTAGTAATAGAGCCACACATGCCAAAGAGATTTGCCCGGCAATTTGGAATGTGGCAACAGATTCCTAACCTTTCATTCCCTTATTCTCATGAACTGCATAGAGCAGATGGCCGCAACACCCTGCGAGAGGCTTTTATCCTGACGTACAATGAGTGGCGTAACAACCGAATTAAGATGGATTGAAGAAACGCGTAGGGAAGCAGAGAGTGGTCGCAAACGTTACACACCCGATGTTGCAGTGCAAGAGAATATGCTTTTTCCAAGTTTTGAATCTTTGGAAGACGCAATCACAAAGGATTGCATAAAGGATCTCAAAGTATGGACCCTTGAGTACAAACGAGAGCGCTCTTGGGCTTGTCGATGTTGGTACCATGATGGGAATCCACGGTGTTATTGGCGTGCACAAGCGGCAAAAGGGAAGAAATCAGACCATTGGTTATTAAAGAACTACCATCAACGACACACATGTCGTCCTGATTACTCTCACGGAGGTGACGACCGCAACATCACAAGCCAATTCATAGCCCGAATGCTTGTTGGGAAATTACGTGTTGACCCAGAATACAAGGTAAAGTTAATTCGGCACGAGGTGACGGAACTTTACAAGGTCCCGGTGTCGTACAAAAAATGTTGGCTCGCTAGGCTTATTGCCTCAGAAACATTGTACGGAAGTTGGAAGAATTCATACAAGCAAGCCCCAGTTTTGCTACAGGCTTTGGTTACTTCTTATCCGGGAACCGTGGTGGATTTTGTATGCACCTCGCCACCAACAGACCTGACACCGAGCCCGTAATTGGAGTGAATTTTAAGTATGCATTTTGGGCTTTTCCAGCGGCTATAAATGGATTGCAATATTGTTTACCCGTGGTGACCGTTGACGGGACGCATTTGTACGGCAAGTATAAGGGCCATCTTTTACTTGCAGTTGCTTTGAATGGAAACCGCGAGATATTCCCACTTGCATATGCCGTAGTTGATGGGGAAAGTACTGATAGTTGGTCATGGTTTCTACGATTGGTAGCTCAAAAAATTATAGCTGGGGCAAGAGTTTGTGTCATTTCCGATAGGCATGCCGGTATCATCAACGCCTATCGCGATGTGGAAGAGCTTCAAACAGGAAATATAGTAAAGCGTTTCTGTCTACGTCACATACGTAGTAACTTTAATTCAAAGTTTCACAACAAGAAGCTCAAGGACCTCATGTGGTCGGCAGGGAGTACTCCGAGTGTCCAGGAATTCCAAGACTGTATGCAAGAAATTCGAGGTCAAAGTGAACAGGCATATCAATATCTTGTTGAGATTCCGCTACACTTGTGGACGCTAGCGTACGACGGTGGGAGTCGATGTGGGATACTTACCACGAACAGTTCTGAGAGCTTCAACAATATGCTAAAAGGTTGTCGGATGTTACCGGTGAGTGCTATTATCATGATGTCATACCAAAAACTTGTTGATTCTTTTGAGTCACGTCGTAGGTCTTGTTTGGATTGGCAACGAAAAAATCTTCGGTTTACTCCAAAGATTTTGAAGATCTCTGAAGCTCGGGAAAAAAACAAACAAAACTTTCAGGCTATGCATTATGGCGGACATCAATACGTTGTCTCTAGGGCTTCCATCTCTAACCCAGGGCATATGTACAACTTTGTGATCGACTTGGGGAATAAGTCATGTACTTGTGGACAATGGCAAGGAGACGGTGTTCCATGCGTACATGTACACTCTTTGTTCCATTCTTTCAAACAACATGCCGATGATTGTGTCCATCACATGTACAGTGTGCAACGATATCAGACTTGTTACACTGGCCAAATTAGACCGGTGATATTTCCAAATGATTTTAATTATGCAGAGTATCCGGTATTGCCACCGATAAGGCCTGAAGGAGAAATATCGCGTTCCGGTCGCCGCAGGCAAAAACGCTTCCAGGGGGAAATGAGATGAAGTGGACAACGGAAGGATCAAAAACACTTCCAAGGGGAATTTATGTTGTTTTTAAATATTTAATGTATGTTTTGTTTTAAATAGGCAGTGTTATGTTTAATTTTTTTTGTTATCGTTTTTTGTTGTCTTCTTAATATTTAATGTATGTTCTTTTAAATTATTAGTTTATGTTGTTTTTAAATATTCAGTGTATGTTTTGTTTTAAATAGGCAATGTTATGTTTAATTTTTTTGTGTTATAGAAATTGTAGTTTCAATCATTGCACCATACATTTGGTTATTCATTTAATTGTGTTATACTCTATAAAATTAACGGTGAAACAATTTGTTTTCTTGAGGACTCAAAGTTGTGTTTGCTGAACACAATTTTAATTAGGAATTCAAAGTTGTGTTCGCCGAACACAACTTCAATTGGGAAAAAGTATGTCGTGTTTGTTGAACACGATTTACATCTTTAGGAATTTAACATTCAGATTCTACACTGATAACTGATAGGTAATTGCTCCGTTGATAGATAGCGTAGCAGTAAGCTTCTCCTCAAGCGTATCAGATAAGCTTCTCACATCCGTATATCCCATATGGACATCTCCGTCGATTCTCATTCTTCTATCTATCACAGCAACTTTCAGATTCATAGCACACGAAGAACTAGACCTAGCAGCTTGGTCCAGGGACAATGAGGCAAATTCCCACTCAGGTATAAATTTCTTATCTACACTTACAATCCTTCGCCTCTTTCATGAAAAAGAATCAGAAAAAGCTAAGGCACAGTTAAAAGAGTCGTGCGTATCCATCTCTGATAAAAAAATGCAGGGGAGGGCTGCGTGAAACAGCCTCAAGCTAGGGTTATAACCCCAACTATGGATTCTGACGAGAAAGACGGTTGGCCTAGCAAGACCACCGGCTGCAGGTCTTTCACTTCTCATCTTCTTCTTATCTTTGTTTTTACATTTTGACTCAAGTATATGTCTGATTTTGTAGTTGAAGAAAAAGAATAGGTTTGGATGAGCAATGCTCACCATGTGTTCGACGAAATGACTCAAAAACATGTAGAGTCCAGGTAACATTTTATTTCTTCCTACTTGGTTTAGTACTGGTCATACTGTGTTATTTCAGACTTGAAATGCCAAAATTTGTGGTTATTGCAAATAGATGAAGTGAGGTGAAAAAAAGTGATAAACTTAGCAGGTATAATATACTAACCTGCTAGGGCTATACTCACCCCGGCAAAACTCGCTTTTGGATGATGGTATGTAGAGCTATTAAGTTCAAATTTTTTCCCTCTAAAATTGTACTCCATAAATGTCAGTTTTCTTCTCATGTTTGAATGGTAATTTTTCTTCTCTATTTCATTTTCTTCTTAATTCATTTCTTATAAATGAACCAGTAGAACAATGAATGATTTTGAATTCAATTTCCTTATTTCCATTTTTTCAATTTTACATGTTGGAAACACTTCTTGGATTTTTAGCACATAATATCAAAATGAAGGAGGCATACAAAATGTTTGACATAGTGCCCCATGAACTTGTCCCAAGGTACTGCTTTTTTTTCTTTCAAGACATTTTTATTCACTAAGATGTATAGAATTAATATGTGAATTTAAAAAACATACTTCATAGGTATTATTGCTTCTCCATCACCTTAGTGAAAATAAAGCTAATGACTAAATGGATTTTTTAAAATAGTTAAAACTATGATCTCTTTTATCACTTCTAGCATGATGACTCTAAATTTTAAGACTTTAATTTGTCAAAAAAAAACAGATTTTGTGTGAAGTAATGGACTAATAGACTTATCTGCAAGCATTTTTTTGTCTAAACATGCAACAATACTCATATGTTGTTTAGTTATTTAAACTTGAGCTCTCATCATGAAAACAAAAAAAATAGATAAGAAAAAATAATGTTTATTCACAATTCTCCGAAATGGCCTTATGGGCATGTTTAAAATTGACAGGTTAAATGAGATTTGACATTACTCTATAAACATTTAATGTTAATTACCTTTCAATGGTTGTTGGTATAGCTTGATGGTTTTATTACTTGGGTGTTTGTTTTCAGGCCAAAGCAAAGAAACTATCGGGGCCTAATGGGATAGGAGTGGCAACAACCATTGCACTAAATTACAATAGTTAAGAACCATTACACCAAGTAGAATGAGGGATATGGTAATTAAGATACAATTTCATTTGATTCAATCATCCTCCTCGGCTTTTAGCTATTATACAGTTTTAAGTTTTAGTATTGATTTTCTTTACAAAGTCAATGTCTGCTTTCGGGTGCCACCTTTTCAAACCTCAACCCCCAGAGTGGTAGTTGGCAGAGAACCATAGCCCATTTTTTTTCACCCTATCAGTTCATGGAGCACATAGTCAGTGAATGAAACTCAACATGATTATATATTTGTTAATTCAATTGTTAATTTGATTATATACACACTCCGCTCTTCAAAAAAAGAAAAAAAATGAATGTATTTGACAAATGCGAGAGAAAAAAATTGATGAACTTAGCAAAAAGTTTAGCTTTTTATTTATTTATTTTGATTCTTCATGTAGAAATGAGCTTTCTCCTGTGTGCGGAAGAAAAGAAAAAATTGATTAGCTTAGCAAAAATTTGATCTTTTATGTTTCTTGATTTTGATTCTAGGTGTAGAAATGAGCTTCTTATTTTGCGGGAAAGAAAAGAAAAAAAGTGATAAGCTTAGCAAAATTTTGACCTTTTCTTTTTATTTTTTTTATTCTTGATGGAGAAATGAGCTTTTGAGGTAGGGGTATGGTCTGCTTATACTCAAGCAGTAAAACTTAACACCATTAGTGAAATTTTACTAGGTTATTTGTTGGTGGTAGTTGTGTAGAAATGAGCTTTGTGATTTCAATGGCTTGAATCTTTTTTGAATATGATTGCATTTGTTTGCATCTGATTAACAATATATAAATGATAGAACTTTGGTATTAAGATGTTGAAAATGAGCTTTGACAGCGTAATTGTTAAACCTAAAAAGGCATTTGCTTATGAATCCCAAGTTTTCCCTTTCTTTCTCTCTCTCTATCCCCACCTAATATGAAACCATATAAGCATACAGTTTATTTAAAATGAATGCACCATGGAGTCACCTAAATTCAATTTTTTGGTGCTTTGTTTTTCAGGGGGAAACTGCCAGGTTCCAAAAATTCAAAGGATTTGGGGAATTTGTTAGACTATGAATAGAACTACCCAATTATGTTAGTTTAGTTGTTGTTGGGTTTTAATCATTGGTTATTATAAATCGGATTATTCAATTTACTTTTTACGGAGTATTACTCTATTAATATAGGTTAAGCTTTGATTTTGTAATTTAGATTATATAACTTTTGCATCAGATCGCAACTATTGGATCGCCTTTGTATATGAAAATCTTAATTAAATTTTTTTTATCTTATTGCATCCCCACCTTTTAATTGTTAATATTTAATAGGGTGAGCTCTACTTTAAATATGATATGAATATACTATTTTCTTTTGCTTGATATTTAAAACATTCATATGGTTACAATGGTACATTCTCTTTTGAGAAAAATTAATGTGTTTTGCACCTAAGTCCTGATATGTTAAAAACATTCATGTTACATAGTGAAACATTCAATACTTTTTGCTAAAAAAGTACTCCGTAGTTACATTGCAAATGTCCACTATGACTTGATGGTGAGTTGGGTATGTTAATTGGGATGTAGGGTGTAATAAATGAGAATAAATAATAATGGTATTTAATATGTTAAAAATTGGACGTGCAAGATCATTTTTAGATATCTAAAATTGTCACTTTGCATTTGGGGTGAGTATTAGAATCGATAGCAAAACGCAGATAAGTTGCTCAAAGGGAGTATCTCAAGTTAATTGCTCCCATTTTTTTAAATTTTTTATGAATTTATATTTGAATTTCAAACAATTATGGTGAGAATACTACCACGAAATCTTAAATGCTTGGACTTATGACTTATCGTTACATTTGTAAATATCATTGTTTTAATGGATCATGTTGAGGTGGTAATGAAGTTGATTTACACTAGCGATTTTTATTTGTAGACCAAGCGTAATTCACCATTTGATTCTAACTAAGAAATAATAACAAAGTAATTAAATTTGTTCCTATTTCACTATTTGTATGTGAATTCATACTTATTACTCCGTATTTGCCTTCATAAATTTCTATTTACATTTTCAAAAAATATTATTCTTCCCGTGCTACATCAACATTTCTCCACCATTTCTTCACCAAAGATACTCTTAATGTATAAATATTAAAAAATTTAGTAAAATTTTGGCCGTGCATCTCACGGGGATGAAGTCTAGTTGTATATATGGAGATTGAGATGGAGATCACTCAAAAGTACTGTTCGAGACAAAATACTCCGTACTAAACAAAAGAAAATTGTTCAACAAACATGGCCTTATAATCATACTCCGTAAATCATAGAAGAAGAGAAAAGAAGAAGGTACCAAAGGAAATTCAAGCAACTTCGCTGAATGATCAGCGGATCACACGTTCATCGATACATCGACCCGACCCGTCTGTCCTCGATCCTTACCCTCGAGATTCCAGCATTGCAATTGCTATAAAGCTTCACCTTGCGAAGAAATTGGCCGGTGGCGGGAGCTGCGGCGGTCCTGTAATTCGACTGAGCCGAGCAATTTTCCCGGCATCTGATTTCGAAGGTCAGTTAAGCTCTGGGAATTACCGCGTATGGAAACTAGAGTCTGTATCTCTGGCTCGTGAACCACAACCCTAGCCTTGTATCTTAATAACGCTAGGGTTGGAGCTTCATCGGTTCTGTAAATAGCGTAATCAAAATTGGCTCGTATGCAATTAGATAATGTGGAATTTGAAAATAGTATACCCCGTAGTAAGTCCCCGAATTCGTGGGTTACTCAAAGGGTTGTGTTCTTTGGCCCTAATCGTCTTATTATACAACGGAAGAGATGTCTTGAGAAAGTCACGCTTTCTGGAGTCTTCTCCTTCGATTGGGTTGGCCTCCAAAAGCAGGTTTTATGGTCGGTCAAACCATGTGGTAGTGATCGGTCGCCGAATGGTTGAAGTGGATGCGAATTCTTCAATTAATGATCCCGCTGATTTGTCTGTTGAGAATCCTGGCTTGTGTAGTGGATTAAGTGATCACAGGGGATATGAGAGTGGTTGTGATTTCTTGAAAGCTCACCCAAAATGCACATCTGGAGGGTTCTTTGATTACATAAAGTTCTATTACTGTGCTTGCAGAGAAAGTGCATGGGCTTACTTGGCATTCGCACTCTGGCTTGTTACCCTTTTTTATCTTTTGGGTAACACGGCAGCGGATTACTTCTGTTGTTCCTTGGAGAAACTCGCGAGCCTGCTGAAGCTGTCACCAACAGTTGCAGGTGTAGCTTTGCTCCCCCTGGGGAATGGTGCTCCCGATGTCTTTGCCAGTATTGCGGCTTTTGTAGGGACAGGGGCTGGTGAGGTTGGTCTTAATAGTGTTCTGGGTGGGGCTGTTTTCGTTACTTGCATTGTTGTTGGGGCTGTTTCTCTCTGCGTGGCTGATCAGTATGTTCAGATTGACAGGAAATGCTTTATTAGGGACATTGTGTTTTTCATTGCAACTCTCTTGTCACTCTTGTTGATCTTGATTTTCGGCCGGGTAAGTGTGCTAGTTGCAGTGGCATTTTTGTCCATTTACATCATTTATGCTTTTGCTGTTGCTGCTAATGAGATCTTAAGGAAGCATGCCAGAAGGTTGAAATTGGATTCTATCACCCCACTGCTTCCCGTGAGAGGCACTATTTTCTCTCAAGGAACAGAAGAAGATTACTCCATATATACCCCTTTTATCGACCTTGAGACAGAAACCAGCGATGGTGAACAATCACATAGCTCCCTTCCACAGTGGATGTGGTCATCAAATCTGGCAATCTATTCAAACCAGACCATTTGGGTGCCTGACAGCGAGTGGCCTTTATGGGGATGGAATGACCAGGACATTGAAGTTGATGAACAAACCTCATTTTCCTGGTCAAAACTATGGTCTATACTGGAGATTCCAGTGGCATTGCCAAGACGGTTAACGATTCCCTTAGTTGCAGGAGAAAGATGGTCAAAGTTCTATGCAGTAGCCAGTGCATGTCTGGCCCCGGTTCTTCTGGCATGCCTCTGGTGTACACAAGACAACGTGACTAGCAATAGAAAACTCGTGTTGTTTATCATTGGTGTTTCTGTTGGTTGCACTCTTGGCCTTCTCGCATACAAGTTCACAAGATCAGACCGCCCACCTCACAAGTTCTTGTTTCCATGGGTTGCGGGTGGTTTTGTGATGAGCATTGTCTGGTTTTACATGATTGCAAATGAGCTTGTTGGGCTGTTGGTTGGACTAGGGGTGATGATGGGTGTGAACCCTTCCATCCTCGGGTTGACCGTTTTGGCATGGGGAAACTCAATGGGCGATTTGGTTTCAAATGTTGCCTTGGCAGTCAACGGCGGGGATGGCGTGCAGATTGCATTTTCTGGATGCTATGCCGGTCCAATGTTCAATATACTGATTGGTTTGGGGATCTCAATGGTCATCGGAGCCTGGTACGAGAAACCCAGTCCCTACACACTCCCGTTGGACCAAAGCTTGTATTTCACAATGGGTTTCCTCATGCTCGGACTAGCGTGGGCCCTCGTTGTTCTTCCTAGAAACGAGATGCGCCCTAACAGAATGCTTGGTGGTGGACTACTACTCATCTATTTGATATTTCTATCTGTTAGGCTGAGCAGCGCAATGGGAGTCCTTTCGATATCTGGTCTTCACTGATCAGATTTAGCTATGCCATGTAAGAAATGTTGCGAAATCTCCAGCTTATTTAACTCTTGCCTGTTCTTCCACTTTGCCCTTGATGTGTGCATGTATTTGAACTAGTAGTATCTCAATGAAATCTCAGGTACAAAAATTCAAATTCTAACTCATCCCTCTCTCCCAAAGTAAAGAGGGAAATTAGGCGGTTTGGAGTGATGCATGGGAAAAAGAAATATGGTGAGCCCCAAAATGCTTTCCAAAAAAGGAGACTAGAAGCTTTTTTTGAGACGTCAAGGAAAAAGAAAGGTGAATTTGGAACCACTAAATTACGGATGCTATCTAAAATCTAAATGCATCTTTGTGAAGTAGATTTATATCAGGGACATAATAATTCTTTTTTCATGTGTAAGGCCGTGTTTGGTAATTGGTGTACTCTCTATATTCTTTGCATACTCATGAATTAGTAGACCTTTGTAAGTTGTAGGTTTATTATTTCCATAGTTAAATTTTAACCATGCCCTTTACACATTTTTGCTATTCATTTGATAAAATAATATTTTTTATTATCTTTTTTTATAGATCTTTTGATTTACCCAAGTAGTTTTTAAAAATATAAATTTTATTTTTTAATTCCACATCAGTTTTCAAATAAATTGTGTTGAAACTAATTTCAGTCAAACATTGTAAACAACAACAAGCAATTTAATTTGGGACAATTAGAACTCATCTCCTCTTACGGTTCGATGCACACTTCTCTCCTTCTCTTGGCCAAAATTCTTGTCAAAGAAATTCTCAAAATTAATTTTTAAATTATTTCCAAAGAATATACTATTCTGTATATTTAAGTGAGAATTTACTAGTACAATTTGTCTTACAACAGTGGCCATGGTTCGTGTGGATAGATTCGAGGTCATACAATTCTGTGGCTAGTTCTTTGCACCAATTCCTCCAACCACATCCATGGGCGGAACTACAACATAGGATATGGGGGCAGCTGCCCCCAGTGATTTTTTTTTTAAATATATATATGTATATTTTTAGTAAAATTTGTATTAAATAGGACTAAAACATAATGACTTTCTCAATATAGGACTTAAACTTTTTTATTCCCTAAATAGGACTTAATAATGACCTAGTGGGAAGAATAATGTCCAGTAATGATGGACTTTACTTGAATAATGACTACTTGATAATGACCAAAAGTCCTACATTGGGAAATAAAAATATATGGTCCTATATTGGAAAAGTCATTATTTTTTAGTCCTATTTAGATAAATTTCTTATATTTTTAATGTTTATATAAAATTGCCCCCAATAAAAAAATATGCCCCTAGTTTGGCCCAAAACAATTAAATAGGCTAAAGACCCAATTCAAAAGTGGCCCAATTCACCAATTGTCCAAATTTCCAAAGATTAAGGCCCTGTTCGGATACTGGCAGTTAGCTGTTGGCTGTTGGCTGTTTATGTTAGCTGGTTTGAATGGCTGATTCAGTTAGCTGTTTTGACCGGCTGTTTCTGTTAGCTGTTAAATTTTAAGTGTTT